TTCTCTTTGACCATGAGTATTGATGAAAAAAACGCCTGTGCTCCAGAGTCCCCTATGGCCGCTCCCAGGGCTCTGTAATCCTTCTTGATACTCCTCAGACTGCTCCTGGCTGTATCACTGAGGCCCACACGAAACAACAGCAGCGGATAAAGTCAGTGGACTGTACAAGGCTTGGTAGTCTCTTGGTGACATCCTTGATACGAGCCGCCGGTAGGCAGTACATCTCTCTAGAGAGGCATCAGGTTGGCAAATGGGTGCCTCTGTACCTCTCAGAAGAGAGTTGCCTACCCATCGTCTTTTCTTAGTTGCGCTGGTTGTTATACAGGGAGCAGATCAGGCTGCCTTACTCAGCGTCTCTCCTGATGTGACAGATCTTTCCTCTTCAGTCTGCAGAGCGATGATGCAGTTCTGCAACGGCACCTCAGGCTTTGGGGGAAGTCTATTCCTCCTGCTGGTCCTTGACATTGCAACTGTCCATTCTTCTGCATTGTTGGCCACCCTCCCTTCTGTACGTGCTGGTGGAGGAGTTTTTGGATGTTTGGCTGAGAGTCCACTGCAGACTGCGCCTGGAACCAGCTATCTAACTCCTTCTCAGCCTCCCTGATGGTACACAGCCTTCTCACCACCTCCTGCAGCTCAGCCACTTGCTGCAGGAGGTCGTCCACCTGGGCACACCTTTTGCAGGCAGGTCTGCCACCTGCCCCTGTCCCAGGAGAAAAGTCTAGGCACCTCCTACAGTCTGAGGACTACACTGCAGCCTCTCCCTTCAGCAGCTCCGTCTGGGTGGAGGCATTGGCCACTGCTGGGGTAGATGGTACAGACTCCCCAGTCGGAGCTGCAGCCTTTGCTCTCAGAGGAGTGCCCACTATTCTGCCTTGAGGGTTCAGTAGGATGAGTGCCCTTGACTTGTGTAGATGGTCACAGAATGGTGCCCAGTTGCTGGGTTATGTGTACTTCAAGTGTCCCAACCAGCCAGTGGAATACTCCTCCTTTGAGAAGGCAACCTCCTGCGCAAACTGCAGCACTGCACCCTGTTTGCTCATCCTGGCTGCTATCGCTCCCCAGGGCTGCCCTTGGTGGGAGTAGGGGGTGGCTGCTGTTACTCCTGGCCCTGCTCACATCTTGTCAGCCGCTCTTGTGAGAGCTGCGGGCTCCTGGTGGGTCTCTGCACTCCCCTGGGGTTTCTCTGGCTCAAGGAACACCTCCGTATGCTGCAATTTCCCACTCTGCTGTACCAGAGCTGACTGCCTCTGTTTTTTGCAAAAGGGCAAAAGAAGAATTTACCACCTTGGAAGCTATCTTATACTAGTCTTTTAAATCACTCCAACAAAAATAGAAAGTGAAAATGTCAAAAGAAAAAAAATGATCCTTTTTTTCTAGCTGATTTATCATGATTGAGACCAATGAAAAATTGCCTTTTGATAGAGGATTCAAACTATACTGAGACATGTTTCTGAAAATAAACCAAAGAAAAATAAAGCTTTAAAAATACTCAAGAATTCTACCTAAAACCCCCAGATGCATAAAGATCCCAACTCTAAAAAAAGGTATTTTAACTAAGTCCTTGGAAAGCTGCACCTGAAACTGAAGCCAAGCAGTTACCTGTGTTCTCCACAGTGTAATGAAGCCGATTAAGCGGGGAGAAGGAGAAGCAGCAAGCATAACTTTTCTGCAGACACACACCCCAGGGAAGGGTGACTCGTTTGGATGGCAGCAGTAAACTGACTTCCCCATCTTACCTGGTAATCAGCAAGCTGCAGTTCCACCATCTGCTGCATTTTGGGGGTCTGGGGGTCTGACCTCAGGGACACTTTAGTTTTGTCTAGCCATTGTTCCAGCTCGGCAACCTGGGCCTGGCACACCTGGAGGATCATTTCTAGCTCAGGCCTACGGCCATCTACAGCTTCCTCTGAGTCTCCGGCTTTCCCTCGAGAGCCCCAGGTGGCGGTGGGGACAGAAGCCAGCTTGTCACTCTGAAGCAAAACACATGAAAGAAATGCAGTTATCTGTCTGTTTTTTTCTTTCTTTCCCCTCCCCTTACCAGTGGGAAATGTTTAACTTTCACACTCACAGAGCTCCAAAACTACTCTGCCACCCTGTTCCCAGATGGGGGGGGCGGGGGGGGCGGTGCGGGGAAGAAGGAGAAAAAGAAGAAAGGGAAACTCAGCAGCCAGGCTATCCAGGATCTGGTGTAACAGGTTTCCAGGCAGCAATTTGCATTTGCACAGGTATACCTGAGCCTGAGCACACAGGAAGTGGGATGATTCACCATGAACCAGTTCTCCCCTGAGGAGAGGTGTTTTTCTGTGGGAGTTAGATGTAAAAGCAATGCAGTTTAAAGCTACAAAGCAAGCTGTTGGGTAACACTTACAAGCTACTTGCACACATTCGGTTCCAACAGTCAAATATGCTTTATTCGGGCTCTAGGTCACACAGGAAAAAATGGTGTATTTTTCAGTATGTCTTGTGTAATTCTTTCTTCTTATTTGCTCTCCTTTAAGAAGCAATATTACACACTTCCATAATAAGGAAAAGTCTAAAGTGCTTGGAGATATCAGCAGTTCCTTCAAAGGCTTTACAGGTCTGTATATACCTACAGGCATGCAAACTGGTACTTAGTAAGTAAATCAAGCACAACACCAGAAGAACAAAACTACCTGTATACTCCTGCGGCTGTAGAGCACACATTCAGGCAACTGAGGTGGTCAGTGGTAGTGCACAAGCTCCACGTTAAAATGAGATTTGGCAGAAAATCAGAGAGCAAAAATGTGTTGTTTCACCTATCAATGTCTTTCTTTAATCACGACTGTTCTTGTTTGCCTCTGAGATAGTATAGGACTGTACTCCTTAAACTTAGAAAGTAAATCTGAGTATACAGATCCCAGAACAGTCAAAATATGTCTATTGAGGTATACGTGACCGCAGAAATAAAAAAGTATCAGTTTACTTCAACCTCCACCTGAAATTCCAGCTCTAGTTCTAAACCTGTTTTAGTTCATTCATTTAAATAAAAAAACATTGCACATGTATAATACTGTGCCTATGACGCCCTTTTGTCAAACATATATGTCTACAGAAGCATTTGGTCTACACATATGGCACATTCTGCCCCTACCCAGCTAGACATTGTTACTGCCGTAAACTTCATCCCCTACTTCTACAGAAATAGAAACTCAGATATATAGTCAAATTAGGTGAATAAAAGAAACCAGTGTCACCTGTGCAGGTGTTCATGCAGATGTTATGTGTTTGTGTGCCAAGAGTGAGCCCACGGAGGTACCATGGAGTGGACAGTTACCATCACAAACATGAGAATCATAGCATCATAGAATCATAGAATCATAGCATCATAGAACAGTTGGGGTTGGGAGGGACCTTTACAGGTCATCTAGTCCAACCCCCCTGCAATGAGCAGGGACATCTTCAACTAGAGCAGGTTGCTCAGAGCCCCGTCCAACCTGACCTGAAATGTTGCTAGGGATGGGGCATCTACCACCTCTCTGGGCAACCTGTGCCAGTGTTTCATCACCCTCACTATGAAAAATTTCTTCCTTCAATCTAGTCAAAATCTGCCCTCTTTTAGTTTAAAGCCATTACCCCTTGTCCTATCACTACAGGCCCTGCTAAAAAGTCTGTCCCCATCTTTCTTATAAGCCCCCTTTAAGTACTGGAAGGCTGCAATAACATCTCCCTGGAGCCTTCTCCAGGATGAACAACCCCAACTCTCTCAGCCTGTCCTCACAGGAGAGTTTTTCGATCCCTCTGATCCCCTGAGACCCCTGGGGTCTCACCAGAGTGCAGGAGAGGGGCAGAATCCCCTCCCTCGCCCTGCTGGCCATGCTGCTTTGGATGCAGCCCGGAATACGGCTGGACTTCTGGGCTGCAAGCGCACATTGCCAGCTCATGTCCAGCTTTTCATCCACCAGGACCCCCAAGTCCTTCTAGGCAGGGCTGCTCTCAATCCCTTCATCCCCCAGGCTGTGTTGCTACCAGGGGTTGCCCCAACCCAGGTGCAGGACCCTGCACTCAGCCTTGTTGAGTGTCAAACCTCATGAGGTTCACACAGGCCCATTCCTTGAGCTCACCCAGGTCCCTCTGGATGGCATCCCATCCCTCAGGCATGTCAACTGCACCACTCAGCTTGGTGTTGTCTGCAAACTTGCTGAAGGTGCGCTCAATCCCACTGTCTGTGTCATTGATGAAAATATTGCGTGAAAATATTGAAAATATTGGTGCCATGTAGGCCATCCCATTATCAAAAAACCCAAAACTGTGGCAGTGGCACCAGCCACAGAGCCATGTATTAATAGACTGGGTCTGTCTGTTTCTTCCAATGTCACTGGAAAAAATTACCTGTGCTCCAGATTCCCTTACCAACCAACCTAAGGCCCTGAAGTCTCTTGATCACCCTTGGACCACCCGTTGCAGCTTCATCACCCACCAACATGGAAGAGCAGTAGTCGGTAATAGACCAAGGGCTGTACCAGGCTAGGAAGTTTCCCAGTGATGTCCTTAACATGGGCCCCAGGGAGGCAGCAGACTTCCCTAAGAAGTCTGTCCAGCATATTGGACCCTCTGTTCCCCTCAGAAGGGAGTCAGCTACAACTGTAACCCATCTTTTCTTCCTCATCCAGTAATTCAAATTTTTTATGAATCCTAAATTGTGTTTTAGGCTACTGTAACTGAATTTGGAAGAAGGTACATTTGCATGGGAGGGACAACATGCAAGAGGGGGGAAATGGTATCATTTAGCAATCACTAAGATAGCAGGTATTTAATTTTAGCATGCAGTTAAGCTGTAAACAAAGAACATAAATACAATTGACTTCATAAATGTCTACACATACACACACCTCTAGGGAAAGCAAATAGATTTACCAGTTAAAAATACATGTCTTCCTGTCTCCAAATAGTAATTGATCTTGTAAATAATTCATTTAACAAAAAAAAATTAAAAAGAAAATCACTACAGGGAGCTGTGTAGCATATGGAAATGTCACAGTGTAGCAAAACACTGAAGGGGAAAAGACGGTGCAAGCAAAAAAGCTCTCTGATATGGTTTGAGGAAAGAAGACCTTTCCTAAGAAACCTGTCTACTTGAGCAGAGAAGGACCCTGGCTGTGACCCTGACAGCACTCTCTGCACAGACTACAGAGCTGCCATGTCCAGCTCAAGAAATGCTCCGCTCAACTTCTGTATCACTGGGTCTGACAGGCTGTGGGTGCCCCTGAAGGCAAGACAGTAACAAAACACAGTGGTGGCACACAGCATTGCCAGGAGGGCGTATGTTGTCTTGTAAGGCTCCTGGAAACCCAAAACATTCAGCTGGAGATCAAGTCTCTTGAGTACAAGTGTCTAAATTCCCATTATCCTCAATGGAGATTTACAGTGCCACCAGGAGTTCAGCTAGGCTTGTCACAGACAAGCAGTGGGTGCTCAGCCGAACCGCCCACCGTGCTTGGGTACTGCAGTGACTACATCTCCCGCGGCCACCTAAGGGAGCTTACACATGTCCTGCACGCGCGGAGACCAGCAGCATCACAGCATAGCAGAGAGAAAAAACACAGAGATCCCGCATACACCTACGTCATAGATAATACATGAGGCTATTTCTTATAATACCAGTACAGAATATATTGTGCTGCTGGCTGAGTTTTAATAGTTTGCTATGGTTTTTTAACTATAAAAGTTAAGCATGATGGAAGAAGTTGGGGCAATGGGAAACAAAGTGACATGGGGCCGGGGCTTGCTCCAGGCAGTGACAGATTCTGTCTTCTTCCATGCTCTAAACCCAGGAAGAGCTGAGGCTGCTCTGCTACCAGTCTGCTGCTCCTGGCCTTCCTGGAGCATTCATGTCTGTCTCCTTAAGCACTTTTGTATAAAACGTATAGGCTGCTGACTACTCCTCCCTTAGTCTGTGCATGCCTTCCACAAAGCAGCAACATATAGGAGTGTCAATCTCCTTAATTTCTCCTTTAACTGCTTAAAAATCCCACAGTTGATATATGTTTACATCACTTGATCCCCTCCATTCATGCCTGTATGAATGCCATCATCTTATGTACTGAAAACACTCCATTTTGTTCCCTAGTAAATTGCATTTTCAAGGAGCAAATCATGTATTTATTATAAACCAAAGCAGCAATACAAAGAGGCCCACAAAGGGTTGTAGGTATCCTACCACATTGTAAATACTGCAACAAGTATTCATCCAGTAGGATGACTATAATGAAACAGAGTGTCTGCCCACTAGGTAGGTTATACAATGAGCTCAAAAGGTCACATTGGTCAGCCTACTTCAGGCCTTCAAACTCACCATAGCCTGACTGCCATCACCTGTGCCAGGGCCTTCAGTGCTCTGCAAAGTTTGCATAGATGTTTCCTCACCATGTTTACTGTGTGATTCCATTATCTCATCAGCATCCTGCAGAGAGAGAGACATCAGCTGAAGTATTTGTAACATTATTAGTAGGGTAGATGTGGCACTTAGGGACATGATTTAGTGGTGGACTTGGTAGTGTTAGGTTTACGGTTGGACTTGATGATCTTAAAGGTCTTTTCCAACCTAAATGATTTTGTTATTCCCTGATTATTGCCTTGTTGTGCTAAAGAAGCCTCAAAGGGCAGCAGCCACTCAAACTGTATCGGTCCTGGCCCAAGAGTATTCACAGAGAGAAATTCTCTTATGCCTGTAATATCGATATATAGAAACAAACAATTGCAGCTATCACAACATTATCGAGACACCATGAAGAACAGAGCAGAATGCCACCAAAATTGCACCTGATTGGGTGTCTCAGGTGTATGCACAAAGAGAACCTCTTCCACAAATCATCCCCCACAAAATGCACGTTGAACAGCCTTTCCAGGAGTTAGTGAAACAGATTGCTGTGACCAAATGTGCATTTCTTTGGGATTTTTGTCAGGCTAGAAGAAATTAATGTAGAATCACCAAATCATTTAGGTTGGAAAAAATCCTTAACGTCATTGAGTCCAACCAACATGTGCAACAGGAAAAGAGATTATAAATGGCAAGATTTAGTAAGATATGGAAGATGGAAGATCTGAATAAGGCCATCATGTCCTGCATTTCTACAGTTCTCTTGCTTTGCAGACTTCAGCAATACTTTTGCAGATCTTTTCCACAAAGATGAACTCCCATCCCCATGGAGATAAACCTGAGTGCATTACCTGAACAATGCCATCTGACAAGGTACCAGAAGACCAGGAGGTTGCACTGTCTTCCTTGTGCCTTTCATCATCTATTTCTGAAGTCCGAAAGCTTGCATCTTTCTCTGTGGCTGTACTTCCCTTTGAAAGCAGTAACAGCTCAGCATTAGCCTGTGAGCAGGAAGCTCAGATATTCCTTCAGGCAATGTAAATTACTGCAAACCTTTAGTAACACTTTGCTCTATTTCTGCCTTGTTTATCTATCTTTATTGTATTTCAAATTGCACCTCTTCCCTTGCTCTATAGCTCTGCTGCAAGATGAATGGCAGCTGGATGACACTGACAGTTTTCTCTAGAGACCCCAGAGTATCCTCATTTTTTTCACTCTATTTAAAAAAATAAAAAAACAACACAAAACAATCTTTGTCCTGTCCTGTCCCCTAAAAAGTCCTGTATGTAAAGAAAACTGCACCACTGAAGCTGCAGAATCAGAAACCTTGAAACTGAAGGGCTTGATCAGAGTAGTAAGACACCACCTCTATCCAAGCTGCCTGGACTTCTTCACACTGTCTAGCCATGGAGTTTCATCCTTGCCTAGCCTAAAGCAACCCCTTCAATACTCCATCACCTCTTTGCCACATTTCCTTTTGATTCTCATTACACGGATGTAGCAAAAAGGCTAATTAATATCCATAGCGAGAACTTCAAAGAAATAGAGATTCCTGAGAACTTGGTTGAAGCCACTGTCCTTTCTAGGAGATGCAGATGACAGTAGCTGGTCACTACCAACCTAGGCAGTCTGGGAACTGCTGTGCAAGTGGGTATCTGGGCTACAAGCTCACCAGCACTTCTGCACATTCCTGATTTCATTTGAATACATCTCATTTAGTCCCTAGGGTACAGAAAAGTATGCAGAAAGTTTCATGGATTTTTTTTTCTTTTTCCAAACGCTATTAACTTTATCATGAAACTTCAGTCCCAGCTTTGCTCCTCTGCAGTTCACCAGGGCATTCAGACTTCCCAGTTTCAGAGCAACGTGTTGAGCAGTGCCTCCCTGTTTCTCCCATTCTTCCAGAAATCTCTCATGTCTTAACTTCATTCCCAATAGTCTGATCATGCCCTTTTTTTTCTTAAGCTCAAACATACAAATCATATTGGTTGTTTCTTTTAAGTTTTAGCACTTCAGAAGCTGTCTAATTCTTTCTGAACCCCACCCCCACATATAAACATAGTTATATAGGCCCATATTTATAAGCAATCCCACTAAAAGCAGGATCACACATCACGGAATGAGGTGCTGTGTAATATTGGTATTGTAATATTGGTAGGCTGTCTTGAGTGCTATTTCCTAGTATCCTGGAGTGATAATAGATATTTCAATTTGTTCTGAAGTATTTCGGATTTACACATTTTTCATAATTTGTCTGGTCTGGCATATACAGCTGTATATATGATATACACTGAACTCACCTTGCTGTGGAAAGAACAGTCTTCCGATTCTTCATCTAAGGAAGGTAGAAGAGACATCATTCCTCTTTTTTTCAACTACAAAAATATACACAAAGAGACAGATGAATTATTCATTACAAGAACATTAAAAGCCTCTTCTGCCTGTAAACCAAAAGAAAGTTACCACTTGGGGTCCACTTTTGGAGAAGCACTGAACATCTATCACCCTATAGTAAAGTAATAGAAAGCTGCAGGTACTAAATACCTCTGCAAATTGGGACATTTCTCTATGCTATAATGTTTCAACATCACAGCTATAATTGGGACAAAATTCATTTTGCTCCATGAAAACAATTTACTGAAAATCCCAGAACAACTGATTATCAACAAAACTACACATTGAGCATTTTGCTGTTGATTGCTTGATGCAAACTTCATGTTGGATCTGCTCATGCAAACAGAGGCACACCTCTCCCCACCTTCTCCTAGACATGCATCATACTCAGCCCTTCTGGGACCATATGGAAGCACAAAGGGAAGGAGAAGTAGTATTGATTCACTGCTGCAGAGGTGCTCCTCTCACATGCCACTCCTCCTGGAGAAAGAAGGGTTATTTACCTTCCCTCTTCAGCTCTCGGGTAAGTGACTACAACATGGTGCTCCACTTACCTGCTGACCAGAAACATCAGTCCCAATCAAGTCACTTTGTGCTAATACACAGGCTGTGGGTTCATCTCCTGATTCAGGCACTTCTTGCTGTAAGCGCTGGTGAAGCTCAGACATTGAATTCTTCATCCCAGTAAGGATATCTTCCTTTCTTTGGCATAGCTTTATGATTTCTTCTTTTACAGCTTCCATTTTTCCCTAAGGAGCAACAACATCCGTAAGCATCCATTTTCCTTATTTAACCAAACAGTAATGTAACAGGTGACACCAGTGATGCATCTTACTGGGACTGGGGCTATTTCCCCTTTTTTCTTTTTCAGGGCATTGGGACAGTTCCCCATTGTCACTGCAGATTTCCAGATACATGTAAAACAGCAGCAACAGATTCAGCTCAGGACAGCACTTGCTGCCTGTAACGCAGAAGGTGGTAGTCTGGAAGGAAATGTGAAAGGCTGGATAACTAATTCTAACTAGGTCCTGCATAGCCATAGGAATAGGAGTTTCCTTCAGGACAGAGGGAATGCAGCTGGGTTACATTACTCTGTGTGTCAGAGCAGGTGATGTTACTTCCTACTACCTTCTCTGGAAACCTGACACAAAACACTTGGGATAGTCTTGATAAGAGCAAAGGGTAGCTCAGGGCTGAGTCATCTTTGCTGAAGCTGGCCTAAAAGAAGGAAACAAACCATTCAGTGGGTTTTAGTGACATGGCTAGGGCCAAAACTAGCCCATGTCTTTGGATGTTATATTGGGAACAATGGTCCCCAACAAAATACAAAGAAAATACTTACTGTTCTGCAGGGATTAAACAATAATCCAAGTAACTCTGCACTGACAAAGTGGGAAATAAACCTGTCTCTGCCTCCTCCTTGGCCATGACTATTGCTCTAGCTGGTCTTCTGCCCTTAGAGCTTTCTGCTAGGGTCTTTCCTTACCACCCAGTGTCCAGATGAGCGAAGAAAGCATAACAAATAACAGAGTGAGACAGGGCAAGGAATAAAGTGCCCTACTCTCTTCATTACTGAAAGTGATAAAGCTCTTTGAAGCATTGCTGTTTGCTTAGAAAACTGAAACATTGCTAAATATCCCGCTGCACACTGGGCTCAGTCCATTGCAGCAAGCTTTGATGCTAGGCTTGAAATAAGAACAGGATTGATTCCACACTGTGCTCTATCATGGTGTGAATAATGCTACGCAAGTAATAATCTGTAACAGATGAAAGCAGTAAGACTGCTGGTTCTGTCTTGACTACAGCTTCTTCTGTTGACAGCCCTAGCATGGCTGCATGACAGGGAAGGTGGAGGCAGGAACCCCAGCAAAGTTTCAAAGGACGTGGGAACTCTGCTCAAACAAGGATGTTTTTTCCCTTTGTACACTCAAAAACACAAGGTAAAATCTTCCAAAGGTAGAGGCAAGAAAATGTCATTGGAATGAAGAAACAGCCATCCAGGAGAATTTGGCATATTTTTATAAATGTTCACTAATAACAATATTTCTATTTGTTTCATTGCAGGAGGAGACTTTACAGCTTACATTTACCAGCTACTGTTTTGCAAACTTAACTAGCCAAAAAACTCCAAAGAAACCAAATCTTTATTAACATCCCTGCTTCATCTGAAGCCCCTCATTAAGATGGGCAATTCCATTGCCCACTTCTATTCATGAAATGCTACAATTATGAAACAGATTTTCTTCTAGAACAAATAGACAGAAAATCCTTCACTCAAAGACAAAACCAAGTAAGAATCAGGAAATGAGTCAAACTTAGTATTAGCATCAAGTCTCCAACATCCAACCACCTGAAAGTGGAGCAGTTGTGTACTTGGGAGCCTATCGAGTGATTATAGTTATTAGGGAAGTACAATGTATGTGTACTAACTTCATTGTGACTGATTGCAAAAAGCCAAGCATTTCAGAGGCACTTTATAAATAGTTATTACACTTAATTAGTAATTTCCTGACTTCTGCAGTGCTGTCCTTAAAACACATCTTATTTTTGCATTAAATAATCAATTCATCCATTAAAGAAAGCAGCTGACTGCAGGGAGAAAAGCAACACATGTTTGTCAGTAGATGAAAACACAGTGTGGCAGTGAGGACAAGGAAAGAGTCTAAAGAATCTAACCCTAACCAGAATCACCAAAAGTACTGTTGCACTGTCAGTGATCAGAAAAGGACTCAGTTTTCTCCTTATGCACCATCTCAAGCTGCTACCTCAGCAATGTTATCAGGATGCTGAGCACAGGAAAGCTATCCATCCTGCATATTGTTTCACCAAAACAGCTGCCAGCTGTCATGAAAACAGCACTCTAAGTTTTCCTTAGAAGTTGATATAGGCACAAATGACACATCAAAATCAGTAAGGAGTATATTATGAAAGATATACCCGACTTGCAAACTAATATTAATTGTAGTATCTCTTGGTATACGTCAACGTACATATGTTGTAGTCACACCATGGCACTCAGTTGCCTGCTTGACTATAGTAGGGAGGGGAAGCACACTGCTATTTCTCAGTGCTCTGCATCATCATAGTTAGTGTTAGTCAGGACAAGTAACAGACATACAGACATGAGAGAAAGAACAATGAAACCCACCTCTGGACAATGAGTCTTCTGAGCCAGTGGTTGATCTTCATGTGATATTTCAACCAAGTGGTTCTTTAAGAATTGTTTCAACTTTTCAATTTCTTGCTCACATTCTTCTGTTTTTTTTACAGCTTCCTGTGAAATAGTAAGTTTCATAAATAATTTTGAATTAACTAGTACAGAAACAAACTAGTCAGTAATGCAAGAAATTTGTACCGAAGAGTACTGGAGCCTCCTTTGCATCTGTAGTTGCAAGTAAAAGAAACCGTGTTTGTTCTGCTAACTTTGCACAACCCTATCCTCTATCCTCACAAAGTTTATTATCCACTTACTAAAGACAAACAAACTTCTACCCATAAGTAAATGTATGGTGGGTATTCTGCCCAGGAGCACATCTTTGCTTACTCCAGAGTAAAGCTATGAATTTGGTATAAAATGCAAATGGAGCATATTTAATCACATTCATTACAATTTAGAACAGGCTGGAGAAAAAGAGAAATTACAGGGTTTCATATCAAGTTAGAAAACCTACCTGGTTTTTATTGGTGCTTAGGTCTTTACTGCCAGCTAGCTCTGCACTGACCAAAAATGAACTGTGCTGTACAGTAAGCAGACACCGCAGCTCAGAGGATAAGCCAACCGCAGTATCTGACAATTTGAATACTTCCTATAAAAATGGTAAGTATTTCCACTTTGTGTAAGCTTCCTCTTCTTACATGACTTATAGGAAAACATATTAGATGTTATAAACAGCCAAATTCACTTTTACTCATTTGACCATAAGAGCAAAATCTTAACAACCCTGATGATTTACTGCTCCTGCAGAAATCAGCAATCTCCCCACACACATTGCTCGTGTTTGTGAGCCACAGCCTGTCACGATGTCTCAGGTAGTTACGATTAATTAATAATTGTTGCAACTACAAATCAGAATATTTTGCGACAACATTTAATTCACAGAACATTTGGTGGCTCTTTGTTTTTTGACCCATGGGCTGAGAACCAAAGAATATTTAACAACTGTTCCTCAGGCATCTGGAAAAGGTAACGAAGAAAATGCAGCCTATTGTCAACAAGCTTGAACTTACGCTGATGACAGCAGCACCTGAACAGCCTGACAGCTTCTCTCCGCAAAGCATGCACAGACTCTCCCTTTCAGAGCAGTCTCTCCTGCTATGAACAGTAACGGTGCCATTTCTTCAGTCACTTCTTCATAATAGCACTCCCTCCCAATAAAACGCAAACTAAGAATGTTCTAAATGATTTTTAAATTTTTTTTTTACTTACAGGTTTTAAAAGGAAGAAAAAACGATTTTCCCCACCAATATTAATTGTGGCCTATAATCTTAATGCCATAGCTAAAGAATAAGAGGAGGAAAAAAAGAATAGGTCTCCTCCTGCTCAGTTTTAATGACAAACTAAAAGTCCTTCTAAAAGAGAGATCCTCTTACCCATACCTTCACTTCCGCATGAACAGGAGTGTTTAGTAATAGATAAAATGCATACGACCTCAAATTTCCTTGATTAACTAAAGAATATTAATATTCTTGTATATAGACTGAAGAGAAGTCATCTGTTCCCTGCCTTCCACTGAGAGGCAAAAAATCTTTTTTTTTTCTTTTACTAATATAATATAAATTATGCCATATATGTGGGACTGAATCTCTTCCTAGAAGTGTTACCTCTCTTTCAAGTTATTTCCTGCTTAACATTTGCTCTTTACTTTTCATGTTGTGCTAATACTAGAAGACCTACCCATGGAAAAGGCCCACCTGCCCGTAGTGTACATGCAGGCAGGCACTGTGTTTGTTATGGAAGAGCTTCCTAAAATTGAGCACAGTAAATCATTATATATGCAAATACTGCCACTCTTCCTGATGACGTTATTTAGGTAGTGACAGGTGTGGTACTTGACAAGCCATAATAAACAACAGAGGGCAACATTCAGCACAGATCTAAGTCATCTAAATTCCTGCCCCAAAGCATTTACACTACCTATTACAGCTTTTGGTTTTGTTATGCTTTTTCAGGTGTTACACTGCAACTTAATTATACAGAAGTTACTAATGAAATATCCTACTGTATCACAGATAGCAAAATATGGGCAAACACATCCAAACACTAAAATTTCCAAACTAATCCTCAGGAAAAAAAACATCTATGTAGATGTTTGTACAGGAAGCTTGCCTTCCATTTGCTTTCCTCTCTATCAGGATACTTACTACCTTTCTAATGCAGCACTCAAAATGCCATCCTTCAATAGATTTATCCTTTGTTCTGTCTTAGCTGGTGCTAGACTTGGATTGTAGTACTGTTGCTTTCAACCCATTCAACAGGACTTGGAAAATCTTTTTTGCACAGTTTGATATCCTATCTGCCAAGAATTGCAATTTTTCCAATCTGTTTTCTCACAAAGAAATTTCACTCAGCTACAGATTGTTGGATGCCTGTAAGATAAAGGCAAATGCTTAGTAAAAAAGGTTACAGCTGTTTCAAAAAGGAGAAGAATCTAAACCCTGACCTAATGCTCCACATAAACCAGTTAGAAGTCTCATGGTAACACTTTACAATTGCAAAGCACCCTGCTTCTGATAGTTTTAAAGTGTTCTGAAAATTCTTGAGTATTTAATCCAGTAACTCTCTGAAAAAGGTATGTTTTACCACATCCGTTTTTCAGACATAAGAAATTGTATGGACTAAAAAAAGACCGTAGGAATCATACAGATCTCACATAGTCCCTGCTTTTTTCTGAACTCCAAGCATGCATTAGTCATGTAGCATGTTTGAGTTTTTCCTCTTGATGTGGTGCTCTTAATTTCATAAACTAAAAATCAAAGTTTTAGCTGCCACTTGTGGCTGCCTGGCCTCTGAAATGCCCAGTAAGAAGTTAGATGTTCTAAAGCATTCTGTTTTACTGTAATGGGTTTGGAAAACCAAATCAGCAAAGATACTGTATCATTTTTCTAGGTGTTGCTATCAACCTGCTGAGAAATGGATGGGTCACATTAGAATTTTCATACCTCTGTTGACGTGGGAACATGCATAACCAATTGCCTCCCAAGTATATTTACCCTGGGCAATGGAGCGTGACACAGATATCCCAGAATTAAAACCTTCTTGAGCTGGTACACATCGCTCAGTGAAGTGCTGCAGAGACACCACTTCAGGTTTGGAGCCAGCGTAGCTGTTTTGTTAACTCATACTGCCCATGAGTTAACGCTCACTGACCCCCGCCAGCACTGCCTTCTCCTAGAGCCACGAGTCGCAGCAATGCTGTTATATCACTTCTGTTTCCAAACCTGGTCTGGCCAACAGCCTCTCCAAGCCCCCTGTCACTTGTTCACTTGTGCAGACACATCCTTGCATGGAACCTTTTGAGGACAGGAGTCGTCTTGCCTCAAAACAATGTATTAACCAAGTGACAGCACTAGAAAATGGTCACTTTCCTGGCTCACGGATTTAGGAGGATCATCTTTAGTAAAAGAATTTCTGCTATTAATTGCCAGCAGTTTCTATCTAATAACTGTCAACAAAGAATTTCCATGTTCAAGATAAGTTTAAAGACCTGAACGTTGCAGATGTGAGCACCTACAAATAGCACTGGACTTCAATCATCAGTTGTGCAAACCTGGGTCATAAGAGACTTAGGCCCTCATTTCTTCTACAAAATGCTAAAACACATGGTGTCAGTTGTGACTGAATTGGAAAACTGAAATGAATTTCAAGACTACCCAGCGTGCCTTGTTGTTGTATCAAACTACACAGGAAAAAAGAAGAACAAAAAAAATCCCCAAACCATTACATAGAAGACATAGTAGGTATACTATATGCCTGTAAAAACAGTATTATCTAGTAATCAAAATTATTATTAAATAAGGGTGGTTTAAGTGACAGTAAAAAACAACAATAACAAAAAAATCAATTACCTCCAGCAGGTCATTTTGTTCCTTAGTAATTTTTTCTAATTTCTTCAATTCTCTCAAGAGTTGTCTTGCCCTTTGGAAGACTGAGAAAGGTTGCATTTTCACCCCTGGTAGCTGAAGTGCTTCTTCGTAGGACTGTATATGAACAATGGTCTTCTGCATGGGACCAACATGGTCGAGTATAACCTATTAGGATACAGGATAGATGATGGATGTGATACTGAGTTGCAAAAATCAACACTGAAAATTTATACTACTGTCATGATGTGCAAAAGTTGTCTCTAGTGAGTTTTCCATTTAAGAAGGAAGAATATTTTCATCTTGGAACAAACAAGTGAAAATCCATGGTGAGGTTGTCTAAAGCAAGAGGAAGACATAACTTACATATCAAATTCCGCTTTTTCTGGATATACATACATAAAGTTTGCACAGTGACAAAAAAAGGTCACATTCAGATAAGTTACTATTTACTAAGCGTGTCATTTCAAAGTAGCACATCTTTGTCAGTGAAGACAGTTAAAAAACTGCTGCAAACCCTTTGATATCACTCTAGTCAACTCTGTTTTTTCTTTTATGTGCTGCAAACCAGCCACGAAATATCCTATGTTAAAGGTAGCCATTTTATGATGGTTGTATAAACAGTCTTATCAACATAGCTGAGATGATGAAGAGGGACAGAAGCCAGGAGAAACCTCTGAAGATGGCTTTCCTGTCAAAGACAGCATTTCATATCACAGCACCCCGAGTGGATGTACAGTTTATAATGACCTTTATCAGTTCTGGATGAACAGAAATGTGCAGTTTCATACCACAATACATGTTTTATGAAAGACTCTGTGATCAACTTAGGAGAGACAGAATGGTGTTGGGATCACTCTGCATGGCTCAACCTTAAGGAGAAGAAGCTGTGGCATTGATCTGCACGGCTCAACCTTAAGAAGGAGCTGTGGCATTGAGAAGCTGGTAAACAGCTGGACATCTGCACGGCTCGGCCTTGAGGAGAAGGATCTGTGGTAAACAACTACGAGGAAGCAAAGGAGCGCATGGACACCTGCAGGCAGCGAATCCTGACTGTGTGAGAGGCACGTGGACAGCGCGTGGTATTTTGTATACAGCCAATTGCAATAATGTGTATAACAAGCTGTAACCAATCATGAGTGTGTGCGTGGTGACTAAACAAAAATTATGATATGTATTGGAGTCAGACAAGACAATAAACGGCTTCGGAGTATAACTCTCATAGAGTTGTGAAGTCCATCTTTTTCCCGCAGAATGGCAATACCAACTCACAACATCTTGGTTCTCCTAAAGAAATATGAAATAATCCTGAGACCTCATTCAGCTGGGAACTTCAGAAGAAAGAAAAAAATATAAATACAAACCACCTCTGGGCCTTTTAATTACTGATATTTTTGTTAAATTACCTCTCAAGAAGATTTCATTTTAAAAGAACCCAATTGCAATAGAGATGCTTATTCTCTCATTCATAAGCAGCCTGTATCAGGACTTTTTTTGTTATTAGCATACTATCCAGGCTTCAATTTAAAATAAGGAAGTATGTAAAAATTATTTTCCAGAAGAAATATTACTTTAGTTTCTCCATATAATGTAGCCATTATAAAATTGCTCTCTGGATGACAAAGCTATGAGAAGTATGAGACATTTTTATGCCTCCCCTGAAACTGAACCCATGCCTTTTGCGTTTCAGTCAGCTAACAATGTGGACTCCACATGGTATAAAATAAAAGATACCATAACGCTTTGCTTTACTTCACTCGAGCAAAGAAAGGAAAACCACCTGGCCAAGGTATCTTTGTAGTGAAGTCCCTGCATGATTAAATGGTTTTATGGTAAGTGACTCCAGCCTACATTTCCAGAAACATCTGCTAAATATTGCCTCCATTTTTGGAAAAATAGGGCCTGATCTTCAGACTTTCAGATTACTCCCTGTTTGATGCTAAATAGACTGATGTGCAGCAAGCACCTCTGAAAGGCCATAAACTTTCCAAAAACAGAGACACTCAAACACAGCAGGTATGCCTGACAACGTGTGCTTAAGTTACATACTCAAGTTCGCTATGGGCATGTTCTCAATAGTGCTTTAATTTCAAATGTTTTTGTTCAAACCACGACTCTGCTTCTTGAAGGGATCTCCCAACAGTCTCACCTTAGGGTTTACATTGTGCAGTTGTCTTGGAGCATGCGAACTGGATTCCTTTCAAATGAAACTAAAGCAGAAGATACTATCCAGAAGAGCCTCTGAAGACACCCAGCCACTAATGGATGTCCGTTCTACAGGATCAGTTCAAAGTAAGCCCCCAAGACACATACAACAGAGATATCAGGTCCTCTACACCAACTGTTTTGCCCTACCGAATATGCTCCTCTTGGATTGCACTACTTGCTACTGTAGAAGCATGTAGCCAAAATCATGACTGAAATAATGCTTTCAGTCTTTGACCTGAGAGTTAGAATTTGTGTGATACTAACATTTGAAAGTCATATACTAAAAAGTTGTTCATGGTAATTTGCAGTCACAACACAGCCTTATGATTGTGGAAGCATATTTATGCTAACTTATGCATAAATATATAGGGGAAAAAAAGGCTATGTAAGAGTTTTGACGGACCTGTCCATGTTTAAGTTGGTCTTTAGGAGAAAATTCTAACAGATCTTCTGATGACAGGATTGTCTTCATTTTGGCCACGTCCTTCTCAAACACTTTCACATGAGATTCAATGGCATCCAATTCCTAGATTTTGGAAACAAACAGAATATTTATATATAGTACAAATACCAAAGCGAGCTTGCATTTCTGCCTTTCACTTGAATTTAAAAAGAAATACTGAAAAACAAGTACAGAATATGCAGGATATGTTAATGGCTGCTACCAATGAAAAGACTAGTTATTATAAACTATGTATCGTCATAGCTTATGGAGGAATTAAGTATCTAAGTTCACCTGGTCTGTTTTAAACCCTGAATACAGAATTTAAATATCCTTGAAAATTCACATTATAAATTACCAGTAGTGACACTTTTCCAGTGATGATAGTTATCAGCACAAGAAACTGGTCTAATTACATTGCTGCAGCTTCCTATATGAAGAGTCTTAAGTCAGATGGAAAATGGATGCACACACAGTACAGCTGCTTGTGAACTCTCATGGAGACAGAGTCACAAAATAAATTAGGTTGGAAGGGACCTCGGGAGGTCTCTGGTGCCCATCAGAGCAGGTCATTTGGGGCCTGATCCTGTTGAGATTTGGGTGTCTCTTGGTGTCCTGGTTTTGCTGGGGTAGAATCATAAAATCAGTTTTCTGTTCAGGAAAGCCTTTCTAAGAAGGCTACAGCACCTGTTACTGTGAGAACAAAGTTGATAGGACACTGTTTTAGTTCATGGCCAGCCATGGCATGCGGGTTTCCACAGTGATCAAGGCCTCTAGCAGTACTGAGATAGCCAGGTGCTAAAGCTAGGGCGAATGTAGGCCAAGGCAGCTGACCCAGGCTGCGCGACAGAAGTATTCCATACCATAAACGTCACGCTCACCATGAACTGCTGGGAATGGCTCGCTCGCTCTCTCCATTGCTGCCATCCCTGGAGGGTCTCGGCCATTGCCTACTCTCCCTTCGCTGGAGCTGTGCTGCTCGCATTGTTCGCCGACCAGCGTTCATTGCTGGGAGCACACAGCTCGCGACCACTATGTGGGCTGAGTATAACTCTGTGTACTCTATATTGGTTTAGTATTAATATTAGTTTTATTGTTTTATTAAATCTGTTTCTATTTCAACCTATTTCAGACACACAGGTTTCCTTCCTTTCCCCAATTTCCCTTCCTCGGCTGGGAGGGGTTTTTGGGTGATAGAGCAATTGCTAGCATTTAGCACACAGGTGGGCTAAACAAAGACACTTGGGGTGGGGATTTTACCCCCACTTTGGGCCCCTGATGTAGTGTTTGACCAATCTCACTGCAAAATAAAGTCCTTCCTAGTATATAGATGGTAGTTCTTCCATCTGTCTCTTCTCCAGGCTGAACTGAGACAGGTTTCCCAGCCTTTCCTCCTACTTCCTGTGTTACAGCCCCCCGACTACCTTGTTGGCCTTCTTGGACTTGCTCCAGGTATGTCTATGTCTTTCTTACATGGGCAACTTAACACTGAGCACAGCACCCGCATATGATCTCACAGGTGCCAAAAAGAAAGATTGCTCCCATGGACCTCCTGGCTACACTCTTGCTCAGGCAGCCCAGGATGCTGTTGGCCTTCTTTTAGCAACGCCATGCTGCTGCATGATCCACACAGCATGGTGGATCAACTTGTTGTCCACCAGGACTACCGGCCCTTTTCGCAAAGCTGCTTTCCATCTGGTTGGCCCCCAGCCTGTATTGGTATTTGAACACGTTCCCTCCTGGGTGCAGGACTTTGCATTTGCCTCTGTTGAACTTCCTGAGGTTTCTGTCTGCCCATTTCTCCAGCCTGTCAAGGTGCCTCTGAATAGGAGTCCTACCCTCCAGCAAGATAAGCCCTTTTAATTTGCCAGTCAACAAGCATTTCTCCTCCTAAACAAGGAGTTTCATCAATATTCCTGAACTTTACAGCTTAATTAGATAACAAACACCTGATGCTTTGTTTCCAAACAATTAATTTCCTCACTTGGCACACCTACTAAAACCAGCACACCTTTTTTCTATGCAGGTAATATAAGCTGTATTTCATAACATATGATGAAGCTCTGATAAAAGGTACTTATAGATCACCCGAACTTACATCAGCCACATGCTGAATCTGTGGAAGAATCTCTGCTATCTCATGCTGCAAAGTTGCTACTTGATCATCTATTTCATTTAGCTGTTGCATTACACTGTCCGTTTCAAAAACTGGTGTTAGCTCCTCCAGCTCCAAGTAAACACTATGTAGAAGATTTTGCTTTTGCTCTGAGTCTTCCAAGGCCATCTGGAGACAAGAGAGAGGTTCGATCCATCAATGGTGAACATGAAAGTTTCACAGAGGTTAGGACGAGAAAGAATGAGTTTTAGTTTCCTGTATGTCATTGACCATTACATATATTCCCAAAAGCTTGGTTCAGGCTAAAACACTTCACTCTTAAGGGAATTGAACTGCTGCATCTTACAGGCAGAAAACTGAGACTGATGCCATAATTTTAAGGGAATCAATTAAATAAAATAAGTCTACATAAGCATGGCAAAAGGCATGAAGAAGATTTCAAACTCAGAGGGAGGTCTATGAGATCCTGGAGAAGATTCCTCTCCAGCTCCTGTGCCATGGTCAGGCTGACCCCAAGTACATGGAATCACAGAATGGTTTGGGTTGGAATGGACCTTTAAAGCTCATCTAGTCCAACCCTCCTGCAATGAGCAGGGACAGCTTCAACTAGATCAGCTTGCTCAGAGCCCCATCCAACCTGACCTGGAACGTTTCCAGCGATGGGGCACCTACCACCTCTCTGGGCAACCTGGGCCAGGGTTTCACCACCCTCATTGTGAAAAATTTCTTCCTTATATCTAGTCTAAATCTTCCCTCTTTTAGTTTAAAACCATTACCCCTTGTCCTATCATTAGAGGCTCTACTAAAAAGTATGAACAAGACATAGCCAGACATCTGAAAAGAGTTTTCTGCATAGCAGCCTGCAGACAGCAGATGTAACAAAATGCTCCAGAAAATATCTGGGCAGTTGTGCACGATGGGAAGATTCTTCTCATCTCCTTCAGCTAAGTGGATGAGCTTTTGGATTAATTACAGCAAATGCCTTCATGAAGAACATGAGGGTTGCATGTGATCCACTGAAGGAAAGGTCTGAATGCATGTCTCAATTCTAATGCAAGCCTTGGGTGCACTTCCAAATCCACTAGTTTCCTAGCCCAGAACACATAAAACACTCCAAACCACAAATGCAGGAGACAATAACCTTTTGTCACAAAGACATTCACAGATTTTGGAAATCACAATCTCCCCATTACGGCTACATGCTCTGTAACATATCAGTCCAGAATAATCAGCTACTTCTTGTAAGGAATTCTTATTAGTTTTAATTTAAAAAAAAAGATATCTATGTTCAGAGCACTAACTTTCTCTCTTGGCACAAGTCAAGGAGTGGATGTATAGAAAACTGTAATTTCAAATATGAAATTGCCAGAAATCGTCTTGGTACGTGCCTGGCCCTGATCTTCCCTGTAATATTACAGATTCTTGAAATTACCAATCAGAATTACCTTCAAGATACAGCGAGAACTGCCTTGCAAATCACAATTCACTTCAAGTTTCCATCTAACACACTGACATCAAAGCACTTTACCATTTTTGGATCACAAACACACAATACAGAAAGAACCGTATATATTCAGGCAGTAAAAACTGACCATAGCCATACAGAAGGGTAACAGAAGAAACACATTTTTGGAAGACAGATGCACTCCAGTTCAGCACTTTCACAAGATAGGTATGTCCAACACCGAAAAGTATCTATATTTCACAAGGGTCATCTATAACTATTTTTCATTTAAAGGATTTACTGAAAACAGTAAATTATTTATGTCAGTAGTACTTAAGAATGCAAAATTGTGTCTGTACAGAGCAATCAGGTCTAACAAGATCATATATCTGCGTTAACACTTACCTGAAGGTCATCAGTATGTTTGCGTAAGCTTTTTGCAGAGTCACTTTGAGCATCTGCTCTTAACAAGCAGTTGGTGGTTTCTATCCAAACCTTCACATTCTTCAAGAGTTCATCATATTCTTCCACCTTGTTGGCAGCCTAGGAAATGACAGAATTTTAGAAAAAGGCACAAATGCATTTCTATCCACTGTATAGGATAAACACTTCTATGGACAAGATTAAAAGAAAGAGAGATGCATTTTCATCAAGATCAGTTAAATTAGTATGGTGAAATAAAGATTGTAATTTTTCTGGAAGTTTCATGATTTCAGGCTATCTCCTGAGAGATATCACCAAAGGTAATTTTGGTGTTTATGTGCTTACATTTCATGGGGGCATTGTTGCGATGTATATGGCAATGCTACTTAAATAGATAGCCTATTAGCAGAGTCATAGAGAAGCATCTCATCACCCATCCAGGGGCATGAATAGCCCAAGCTAACCCCCATCAATGACGGTGCAGAGCTGGTCCTTTGGGGTAGCAGCTGGAGGTGATGCTTGCCAATCCAGAAACTCTTAGCTACAACAAGCAAATGCACCTACTTTTGACAGTCTATTCATTTGAGAGCCTTTGATGATATTTTATGCAAAGCCTTTATTTTGTTTTTTTTTTGTAAGATGTGAGATTTTTTAAACTTCTACATTTGCATCTACCTTGTTTAAAATGGCAGTTCTGCGCTCGGCAAGTTGTGAGACCTGCTGGTACTGCTGAAGAGGGGCCACTAAGATATCCATCAACTCCTGTGCGTGGCAGGAATCCTGCTCTACTATATCATGCACTTCTGCATCCAGTTCATTGAGTTTGTAATGCCAAAGGTCCAGCATATCCCAGATTTGCTGCATGTGGCGAGAGGGGAAATTAAATATAAGGTCAGGCTCAAATATAACAGCAGAGTTATTTGTTCTTCATGTGGGGCATGTGGAATTGCAAAGATTTCAAAACTGATATGATGAGAACAGAACACACTGCATCTACCCGTGTGTTTCACAGTTGAAGAAACCACATATTTTCCTGTGAGAAAGAATTGGTAAATATTCACCAGCTAAATGCTTGCTTGTACTTCACCTTTTACAGACATAAAATGAATGGGGGGCCACTTTACACTCTGATAAACCAGGCTCTGTAGAAACAACCAAAATTCTTTTAACACCCACAAAATTTTTTTGGCAAGATTACCTTCTGAACTTCTTTGGCTTTTGCAATGTTTTCACTCTTCTGTTTTAACATCTTTTCAATAGCTTGAAGGCCATTGTTAATAGTTTCTGCTTTTCTTTTCAGCACGTACTGAGGAGAGCTCTGCAAGATTTCAAAGCTAACCTGTCAGAGTAAAGAGAAAACGGTAGGTGAGATTACAAAGATCTGCTTGTTTCTGTGTGCCACCTCACCAAAAATATTCAAATTCTTTTTATGTTTTTCTTGACGAGTCACTTAAACACAGGAATGGAATTACATTTGCAGGAAGAAGCATTAACGTGAGCAGGTTCAATGTTTATAATGCTGTTCAGTTCCTCTCACTTAAAAATGACTGGTCAAGAAAGGCAATCCCTGAAGGAAGAAACAAATAAGACATTGCAATTCCCTGGGCGCTTCATTTCAGCTGCCCCTGTTCTAATTTGTAACAGAGGCTAATCACACTGCATTGTGGAAAGGGTCGGATTTAGATTCGTGCTGCAAGAAACCTAGAATGACACCTTTATGTCTCAGCTGACAGCTATTACTTCCATATAAGAAATAAGGGAACGTGGAAGTGCATCAATATATAGTGAATTTATAAATATAAATTTAGAGATTTGTTACTGAAATAAAAGGCTCTGAGCCCCATCAAATACGTGGAACTTAATTTCCCTCTGCAGAACTCCACAGAAGTGAAAAATTGGTACACTGGAGGGCCTGATTTTCTATGTAAAGAGAAAAACTCTCAAGTAAGCTGAAGTTGAGTAATTGCCCAAGCACAGAACTGAGCGACACAGTAGGGTACCAGGTTACGATAGACTAGATGAAGTGCAGGGAGTGAGAAAGTCCTTGCTCTTAGTCCAAAGTGATGTCTGTCTTTACTAAACCCTGCTAGCTGCTAGGGTCAGCCAAGCACCAGGAAATTGTTAAATCATGGTAAATTCTTTGTGTCCTGCAGCCCCATGATTTATGGGACATATGCACATTGAACAGCGTTATGCTGCATTGATGTAAAAGATTTCTAGTAGTAGTTATTCTGGTTTGAAGCTTCTTATACTGAAACACTATATGCTTTTTCTGGGAAGAGGAATTAAGATAATTATTTAGTTAATAAATTATTTATCTGTTTTTATTTCTTAATTTTATCATTTATTATTTATAGATTCTAACGTAGTGGCAGACCAATATAATAATACCCATAGTAAGGTATTGTAATGATAAAATTGCATTAATCAAAATAAATATATAGAGAAAAGAACTACAGTGCCCCTCTCAAATACTCAAGTCCAGTGTGTACTTAGTGCCTCAGACTCTTTGGAAAAAGGAACTCAGACTGTAATCACTAAACACCTGACCATTACTACCCTGAAGTATACTGAACATGAAAAATTATTGATGTTTTAGTGATAGTTTCCCAAAAAAGAATCATGTATGAATGACACGACACAGTTGGAAATGAGAAAGCAGACTAGGCACCAGCTTCATATCTTTCCTCAGAAAAAATGATGCATCTGTCAATGTTCAGGTCATCAGTAAGGCAGGCTTTTAATTTCAAGTCTTCTTCCCGGCATAAATCTATTATAATATTCACATAAAATGCATGGCATCAAAAGTACAATTTATTTTCTTTTTTAGGTTAGCGGATTTAGAAGAAAGCAGAATGCCATTAAAATATGACAAGTTAATTCAGTTTAACACATGCTGGTATCTCCTAGTATGTAACTAAACTGATCTCTAATTCCACTAGGATTTATTTTGTTTCCTAAATGCATTTTAAAAAATTCCAAGATAGTTTATATTGTTTTCCATAACCTAAATGTGAAAAGAAAATGTTATCTAGTTTCCAGAACCAGTTCTTTCATCCAATAGGTAACGTGCATTGGGATAATATTTTGTCTCAGTAAATGAAACAGTAAACAACTAAAAAAACCCCAAAGAATAAATACTATTCTACTTCCCTTCCCATTCTCTCTCCTACCCAGCTGTTGGTTCTACAAAGACTGGTTCCATTTTGAAACAGAAATTACAAAGTTAACCAAATTAAAATTAGTAAGCGCTAATGAATATGACTCTAAATATTTAATGTAACATAAAATGAATTAGTAATCTGATAGACACTAACAAGTAACTGGATTTCAAAATCGTTTTATTAAACTTTCAAGTTTTATCAAATCAACCAAGATTTAGCCTTTAAAGTTAGCATTAAACATTATTATTTCTGAAATAAGAGAATGAAGATTTTTTTCTTTTAAAAAGTAACACGAATAAATAACAATTGTAATTATTATACCAGGCTAAAATCTGACCCCAAACTTACACTATTACTCTATTTTCCTTTAATTTTGCATTCAGTTAACTGTTTATACCCACTGTAGATAAAAAGCACTGCAAAAAGTTGAAGCAATGTTATTTAGTTATTTAAATTCCCTGCCTGCTTTCAAAGAAATGCAACCATGCCCCAAGGCATGGTATAAAGGACCATGCCATGATACCCTACCATGTGTGCAAATTCAATTTAAAAAATCCAGTTTCAAAGTCCTCTTTTAACTCAGTTTTGAAAGTATCTTCTCAGTTAAGCTATAAAAACTTCCCAAAGGGCTTTGACTACTAGTTCAGTTCAAGAATCCGACTGGATAGAAGACAGGATCAATACTATATCCAAGACTTCATTGCTAGTGGTCCTGCCACGTCTCCTTTTAATGGAAAAGAAAAATATTATATTCAAACTGCTTACTGTAAGGGTATTCTACAAGGAGACAGTTAACATGAGGAATCTTTCCTTATGCATACATTTTCACTGAGAAGAAAATGCAAGTGAAAATGATCAGTGTTTCAAGTTGAAATTTATAGTTACAACATTCATCAAATATTGCTGTACTTATACATATACTTATAAATACCTAAAATGTATTTATACAGTAAAAAAAGGTAAATATGAATATTACATCAACAGTTACCTTGTCTTCTAGGTCTTGCAATACTTTCTTGCAGTCCTCCAACTGTGTTTCAATCTCTGCAGGAACTACTGTATACATTTCAGAATACTTGATCCGGAGTTTCTCCATGATATCCTTTAAAGTTTGACTTTCTTTACTAATCACGCTCTGAACTTCCTACAAAATTAAGAACAACTTCAGCAGTTTTACCCAGTTTTTACTGAGCACATGTGCATGAGTGTATATATACATATGTGTGTATATATACACATACATACTTATTGTGCTTTATATTTCCTACCACAGTTATGATTTGGAAAAGGTGTTTTCATGATATCAAACCTAATTTGACTACCTCTGCAAGCAGATTAGCTTCAAGAAACAGGCACTCATTTAATCAAATGATGCTTTTCAATCTGTAAGAATTAATTAAACTTGATACTACTCCATGTCAGGCAACTAACGCACTGATGTTTATTGACAGGTATAGCAATGTAACCATCTGAAGTGCTCCTACGACTAAATGTTAACCTTTGTGCTCTCCCTTTTGCCAAAAGTGCATTTTCTCTTTGAAACACATTTAATAGCCAACGTTCATTCCTTCATTATTATGAACAACACAAAACGCAACAGGTTTCAAGCTGAAGTGTCTGCTTTCAGGCAATTATGCAGAGCAGCACAGTAGGCTCCTTTCAAAACAGTAGTTTCCAGTTCTGCATAAAGAATGTAGGTTTTATGAGATAAAAGAAACTTGAGCAACTGTCTACAGCCTGTGGCCTAGAAATAAAATCTGATCTAAATCCTCTTGCAGAAGGAATGAAGAAACTCATTTGTTTTGAAGGTTTTCTAGAATTTCAAGTTGTTTGTTTGCTTTATGGTTCCTTTTCCCAATGCTCAGCTGTTTGAGAAAGTCAAATGTTAACTCAAGTTATTGGAGAAAATGATCTAAAGCTCCTACTAAGCAGTGAAAGATGTTAAAATTAACATCCTTTTTCAATCAGGGGTAATGGTAATCCATTAACACCTAGTCTTCACTTGGGAATCTTTCCCCTCACACAAATATGGTGCACAGACAAATATGTAGGAGTCTGAGATTAATTTATTTCCTGTCATCCCATGACAACTGGGTATGATATTAAAAAACGCAAAACCGTGAAACAGCTGTGTGCCTCATTTTACCATAGAGAAGGCTGTTCTTGTCAAGTGGCTCAATTAAGACTGTGCCAACGTTTACGGGAGTTTATAGATTCCCTGATGTGAATTTGAAAGAAACATTTACAACATTAGTCTCCAAAACAAAGCAGGTTTCTGCAAACTGGTTTCTGTATATAAACGCATGTTCACATTTCACAGATTATTTAGCTGGAAAGCAGATGCCTGTCAAAACTGTCCCAGTTTTTTTCCTAGGGGACTAGATGATATCGCTTCCCATTTGCATGTTCATCTACATTGGTGAGTTAAAACTTTGCCACCCGACTAACCCAGATTTGTCATCTGGAAGTGAAATAGGCATTTCTACTCAATAAATGGAATGGAGCCCCAAATAATGCTATCAATTTTATGGAAACAACGTTTTCTTTGGAAGTAGAGATGAAATTGCCCTACAGATTTTGGCTTACTGGTGTTTGCATTAGGTAAAATTAAGGAATTTTTCAATCCTTTCACCTGAATCTTCTCAAAAGGAAGACGCCCATTGTGACATACTGCTACAAATAAATCATTTGACCTGATTGCGGCTAACATTTGGGGACCTTATAAATGGCTATACTATCTGAGGCGTGGCTGTCAGGAGAATGGAGTCAGTCTCTTTTCAGTAGTGCCCAGTGATAGGACGAGGGGCAATGGGCACAAACTGCAGCACAGGAAGTTCCACCTCAACACGAGGAAAAACTTCTTTACTGTGAGAGTGACGGAGCACTGGCACAGGCTGTCCAGAGAGTTTGTGGAGTCTCCTTCTCTGGAGACCTTCAAAACCCGACTGGACGCATTCCTGTGCAACCTGCCCTAGGTGATCCTGCCTTGGCAGGGGGGTTGGACCAGATGATCTTCAGAGGTGCCTTCCAACCCCTACCATTCTGTGATTCTGTGATTCTGTGATTTGCTTGTACCGATTGCTGTCAGAACAGGAACAAGGTCTAAACTCACTTTTGGGTGAGTTTTAGGTGCTCAGATTAGCACAGTTCGGATGTGAGGGAAAAGCATAGGCATCAAGCACCTGCAGTGGTAACATTTCCTACTGGATACAAAGAACTCAGTAAAAGAGCAGACCCAACTCTAAATTCTAATTCTAAATAATTTTAAATAGAAAACAAGTCCTTTCAGACAAAACCACAAGGTTTCACAGTAATGGGTTTTCAGAACTTCCTCGAGATGTAGTTAACATCTCTCTCTCATGCTAATCCCTTCAAAAATGCTCATATCTGCCATCATGGTCTTTGGCTTCTGTACTTCTCCTAGCCCTTTGCCAGCTTCAAGCATCTACCTTGTAAAGAAAACATGTGATGGGGACCCCCAACCAGTTTTTACACAAGGCTCAAAGACAGCCCAAATTTGTAAGGGACCTTATTAGGCTGGAATAATATAAAGTTCTAAAGGTAAAAGACAACTCGATTAAATATAACTAAAAATAAATTTTTGATCAACATTTAAAAATTAAGATGATGATATAAACACAGTAAGACTAAACTGAAACAAATACAATTAAAATAATAAATAAATAAATCTACATTCGAGATGTGTTAGGAATAATACCATTTCATAAAGTCAAGAATTCAAAGGATCACAAAAATATACTGAAATGTGATCTTGACCATGATTTGATTTCTAGGAATCATTTACCAGGTTAACCCCCTGATGTGGGACACCAGATCCAGAGCATCTGAAGCTGCCCTGGCTAGGTACGCAGAGGGGGAAGAGGCACAGGATGTACACTAAGCAGTATTTCCTAAAAGGCATGCCGCTGTCTGTGAGTCTCTCCGCAGTCTGGAAAGACTTCTATGGCTGCTAACTGAACCACACAGAGGGAGAGGAATGCAAACCAAGGCCATAGCACGGCCAGTCATATTCTGCTGAGCCAGATTCATTCTCTTTGAGTCAATGTACATATGCATATACTTTGCCAGTAGTTTTATTTAGAGCTAGTTCAAGCCCCAGCATAAAAGAGAACATATTCCAAATGTCCTCACACAATAACAGAGCTGTTACAAACCTCCAGTTGCCCTGCCTTTCCAGTAGCACCTTGTAGTAATACAGATGCAGCACTCTGTAATGCATTTGTCACAGCACTTATTTCTTCAGTGATCTTGTCTCTCTCTTGAATCTCAGTTTGTACAGAATCCTTATGGTTTTGAGTCTTCTCATACAACCTATGCAAGATTTCCAGCAAGAATATATTAAGTGTTAGACTCTACACTAAGTAGGAGTAATCAAAGAGCATGCTTAATACAGATAATTTTAAAATGTATATCCAGAACCACATTTGTCTGTACTTTAGTATTATTTTCTGTAACTAAATCTCTGATTTTCTGCCCTTTATTGTCTCAGTTTCTTCAAAAGTTAATTCAGATATTGCTAAACAAAGTATGTTTGGTAGACCAAATCAGATAGCATGCATATTTAAACAGCAAACAGAGCTCAGGTTTTCAGAGTCTGAAAATGCAGAGCAGAAGATGCTCACAAAGATTTCCATGTCAAAAAGCAGGCATGGAGAAGGATGATTACAATCACAGATTTGCAAAAAATATTTGAGGCAAATTTTAAACAGTGGCACACACTTTGTAAGGCAAAAGTTGCATTGTTGCAAAAAGCATGAGGTCTGATTTTCATAAGAATAGAAGACCCACACATCTCATTCAAGTTCACAAGAGCTTGGAGCCTCCAAAATAGACCATCATCCCTTCTGATTCCTTCCACACTTGAACACAAATTGCAGCCCACACATGGTATGGCCAAGCTCGGGTCTTCTCCATAACTACTACCTCCCAATGCCCATGCTGGAGACAGAAGATGGGTTTGATGGAGCATTGGTCTCACCCAACAGGGCATTTTAAGTGCATTACAGCTTTCACGTATTCTTTAACACTCAATAAAACGCTGTGCTTATAAGTAGTCCTATGTCGTATCTTCAACAGAAATTTCACACAACTTACTTTCTACAGCGATCCTGCATTGCCTTTATCTCACATAAGGAGGGAAGAGCAGCTTCTGCCTCAGTATTTTCAGATGTATTCAAGATGTTTCTTATTCGGTGAAGAAGTAAGAGTAAGAGGAGCTGTTGCTGGTTGATGTTTTCCTCAAATGAGTTCACAAAATCTAGTAATTCAACCAGTTCCTCTCTGGTGGCCTTTTCTTTCTCTTTAAGATTTTCTGGCTGTTCTTCCTGGAGCTTATCAAGAATTATTGTTTCTCGTTCCAGCTAAGTAAACAGCATGTCAAAGCATGAGATAAAGTGCTTTTTTATTCCATCACCTTAAATTACATTATTCATTTACTCATACGCATGACTAAGTACTGAGAATTACATAGGCAAAGAACTTGAACACCTGAAGCATGCCAAAACATTTGACTTCGCTCTAACAAAGCACATAACCACACAAAGAGTTGTTCTGGGTTCAGAGAACTTGTACTATAAATATCCCCACCAATTTTGACTCCAGCTTCAAGAATGGCTGGGGATAACTGGCTGATCAATAGATGGGAAATGATGTTCTGCACTGATCTTAGCCCTTTACATGCCATGTTACTGAGGGCCCCATCCCTACCACATTCCCCAAAACTTAGCGTTTATCGAGAAACTCACCTCTTCATTGATGAATTTCCATTCTTGCTTTAGTTCTTCACAGTTAATTTCCAGCCCTTTCGCCTCCTCAAGCAAACCCAGCCAATTTTCCCACAGCACTGTTACAATCCTGCCCAGTGCCCTGTCACTTCTCCTGCATAATCTCATCAGCTCTCCAGAGACCTGCCTCAGCTTCACAAGATCATCTTCAGCCAAGTCAATGTTGGAGACTAAAATCTTATAGGAAAAATAAACAAGTAAGTAGCTAATCAGAAGTGTTAATGAAGCATTCACTAACATGATTAGGATCCTCTAATAAAATGACAATCACTCCACTGAGCTGGCTAAATATAGTTGTAATGAGACAATTCTGTTGGTTAAGACTGTGGAAAAAGATAGGGTGAATAAAATAAACAGAAGAACAGTGTGCCCAGACAATTAGGTTGTTTGAACTTCTTTCTGGTTATTTGGAAGGGAAGAGAAATAAGCAGGAGTTACAGGTACTTAAAGATGACCAGCCTGTAATACGATGAGTACCAGAAGAGAGGACGGCAGAGTGATTCATCATAGGAGAGGTCTGGTGGAGAGGCAGCAAGAGAGTCCTGAGTGGGGAAATTGGAAATTCTCTGATTTTTACTTTTCAGGGAAAACAACAGCAATGTTAGAAATCTGATTAGTCCTGGTCCTGCAAAGAAACAATGATGGATCTGACCAGAAATGCAATACTATCTTAAGCACTGATAATCCTTGATTTCTACAGCAATAATATGTACTTCATTTTACATGGTCTATTATAATCTGGTCTTTTTATAGGTATATAAATATAGTCTGTGGTTTTATATATATACATAAATACAGGATAAAGAATTTCACTTCTTTCTACTACAATATCATATGGTGTGCACAGCTGCATCACAGTTTTGCATGAGCTTTTCAAGTTCTTCAGAGCCTCTCTTACCTTGCTTTCTTCTAAGTGCTCCAAAGCTTCTTTATAAGATGTTGGTATTTGAGACAAAGACTGTCTAAGCATCTTTTCCAGTTTGTTAAGATCATCACACACCTTATCTTTGGTTTTTATGTAGCTTTTGTATTTTTCAAAATACCTGTAGGAAACAATTAATAAACCAATTAAAATTTGATGTGGTTTCTCCTCTCTCCAACCATAATGCCCACTAGAATAATAATTAAAAAAAAAAAAAATCTTCTGAGCTAGTAGTCCTTACTATTTTGCAAGTTATCCTCAATTAGCATTTATTATACACTTCAGGTCCAATATCCAAGATACTTTAGAGATCTTTACCTCTGGGTAAAGAAATATAGGTATGTATATTCATACATCAGCCATAGAGCTGCTTAAAAGAATTGTATGTCTTGATCTAAGTCTCCATCCTCCTCAGACGTTCCCAGAAATTAGTTCCCAGTTTGTAACACACATTCTATTTGTCCCTGTGATGCGTGGTCTGTATAATTCCAATTTCTTATTTCTAGATCTTACCTCTTTTCTATTACGAACGCCTTTAAAAGTCATCCATTTTATTTATGCTCAAGAGAGCCAGAAGTACTAGATCATGAGCAAGCGATTTAAAAATCCTTTACTCTATCTCCCAAACTTTTTCTGTATATCCATCTGAAGACCCTTCAGATCTCTTCCACACCTATATTTGAAGAAAGGAAACTATGGCCTGCATCTTATTAGGTCTTTACTTTCTCAAGCCATCAAAGTAGCTTATGGGAGACATGCATTAGGGCCCCTCTGAAAACTATTCTAATCTGCACCAGTGCTGAACTAGAGACTGGGGAAATGTGGTTTCTTCTGATTCTGGCACCATGTGACCCTCAGTCAAGCCCCATACATACTTTTTCCAATATACTAAAAATGATTGCATTGTAAATTATTAGCAATATGCTTACTGTATGGTAATTTTCCTTCCATTACAATCACATCTAGGAACAACAGAAATGCTTACAGTTCTTTCTGCTGAATTACCTGGTTTTATCAGAGCAGAAACACCACAGCATTTATCATCAGTCACATTTAGCATAATAAGAAACATGATCTAGGAAGATCTCTTAAACATACCTCTGTTCATCACCTTTGCTTCTTTGAGCCTTCTCCCTTAATGCCAAATTCTTATTGACTAGTTCTGTTAAAGTATTTTCCAGATGTATTTTGTCTTCTGGTTTCACTAGGTTTTTCAGCTTGGAGTACAGGTTTTCTATATTAGCCTTTGCAGAGTTGAACTCTTCTTGTTTCCATTGTGGGGTTTGACAGACTTCCTCCGACCTACCAAGCTCTGCTGCCGCAGACTTGACTTGAGCTTCATAGTCCTCGAGGAACATGGCAGCCCTCTGAACAGCCTCAGTATAAAGCTCACCATTTTTACATGCTTCCTCCAGAGCACTCTGAAAGTATTAGAAAGACAAAGGAACAATCAAAAAAGACTGCTGTGCTCCTCTGGATCACCAGATGGTCTTCTCAGAATTTCACATGTGGCTGTCTTTGAGATCAATGCTCCCAGAACTGGCAAATGGCAAATGCACTCTGCTATCAAGGTAGTCACAGAGCAGTGCTGTAACCTACAGATTGATTGCCCTCAACCATAAGAACGGGAGTTATGAGGGAACTGCCAATACTGGAAAAGCCCAGAGGGAAGGATGGCAGAACACAAGAGCAATAAGATCCCTTATGGACATGGCAGTATAGATCCTGTTCAGACAGGGAAAGCTCACACGTTGATTTATTCTTACACACTTTATTCTGCTCCAGGAGATATCTCCACTATGACTTGCCAAACTGCTTCTTGCTAAACCCTCTTCTCCTATGTATTTATTATACACAGAATGATGTGTGACTTTGCCAGCTCTTGGATTCCCACGGGGCAGAGAAACTTCAGCATTGTGCTTCCCACACAATACCCAGGTAGTGAAGATGAAGCACAGCAAACCAGGAAATCTGTCAGCAGGACCATAAGTCCACCAGGGATGCTGAGTCTCTCCTCCTGTTATTAGCTACTACTTCATGTTTCCTCACTCGTAACCATTGATCTCTTGGCCAGTCAAGGCACAGGTCTTTTTGACCAGGACACAGTTCCAGAACATCTACGCTATGAAGGTTACCACTCTTCTGGCTTCCAGCATAAATTTATTCACTCTCTCCTTGTATTAATACTGCCCTTTAGCTTAAGCAGTCCTTTTCTATCCATTAAGTTTACCTCCAGCCTAATTGCATTTCTCAGATAGATTTCCCAGCTTACTGGCTTGAGCAAATTCAGTTTTACTACCTGCCCTTAACATTCCTCATCCCTCTAACAGCATCTGTTCCAGTCTGCATGGACCTATCCTGACAAAGGCATCATGAATCAGGTTGATCCTCCAGCAATGTCTTATCAATGCCTTATATACTTGTGTTAAAGCCTTGGATAGCTGTTGCCTTTCCTTTGCTCACCCTCCCTGAGACCTGATCACATTGGTTTGACCTCTGCTTTACTCTCCTTGATCATTCCCAACTGGTAAGCTGCTTCTTTATAGTAGAAATAAGGAACTTCTGTATTTTTCATCATTGTCTCTATTGAAAATCTTACATAAAATCAGTTCCAAGAATAATCCCAGGGCAATTGCACCCAGTCTCTCTTCAGCTCAATATTTCAACACAACCTTTTCCTTCCTCTCCTTTACCTTTCTTTTCTTGTGCTAATTGCCACTGCTTGGTTATAATCAAACTGAATACAATTTCTTTGTATTCTTTGTTTATTATCATGATTCTCATCATATCCACCAATGCAGAGACAGGCCAATTCTGTTATTAGAATAAAAGGAGGATATAAATTATGAAAATATAAACGCTACAGTCACAGACACCTAATTTTATTATTGGGAAAAGACATATGGCCATACCTTACTTTTACTAAATATACTTACAACACGGGCAGCAATATCTGTCTTCAGTTGTATTTCATGATCTTGCAGTGTCTCTAATTTTGTTTCTATACCAGCAGCAAGAGATTTTTCTTCTTGGTTTTCCCTCTCTTTTTCCGTTATACATTTAATAGCAGAAAACTTTGCTTGCATCATATTCTGAATTGCTTCCCATCGCATCTTTTCATACTGCATTATTTTTATGTCTATCAGAAGTGGCTGCTGCAGCTCTAATTGAATATGCTTTATGATGTGGAATATATGTTCTCCTTCATTCTTGGTATCTTCCTTGTTTACACACTGGAGACCAGAGACCAAGTTTTGAAGAAACTGATTCAATTCCTCAACATCCTTCTCCAAGCTCTTTAATTCTTTCCTCTTAGATTCTTTGAATGGTGTATCAAAGACCTCATTTTTGTTTATCTGATTTGCTACCTCCTGGATTAAGTACAGGATTTGTTGAACTGTCTGAAACAGAATCTCTGCAGATATTAGATTCTCAACAGGAGAAGAGCTAGAACTATCATTTAGGATGTTAGCTTCTTTTCTTACAGTGGCGGTCACAGTCTGGATTTCATTTAGCAATGCTTTAAACTTATCGCTTTCCCTAACAACATTATCAAAGCATATAATCTTCTCTTTAATTTTATTTTTAATTTTAAAAAAATTAGTTTGCAATTCATCCAGCTGCACTGAGTCCCATTTTAGACCTACGCATTCAAAGATTTCTTTATATTTCATTATTTGTGACAAATTGGACTGAAAAGCTAATACTTTTTCTTTAAGTGCTTTGCATTTATCCTTCCCTTCCTGCTTGTCAACTAATAATTCATCTTCTTCCAAGTTCATTTCACCATACTGTAGATCATTAAGATCTTGCTGCAATGAAGTTATTCCTTCAGCAAACTCTCTGTAGACAGCTATCTTTTTTTCTACTTCATGAAGTTTACCCTGAATTTGCCTCTGTGTCTTCCTTGCTCTATTCTTCAGACTTCTTAATTGATCAATCAAGAATAGTTGTTCAGACAGGCTCAGTTTCCCAGCTGTGACCTGACTCTCTTTACAGTAGGATGAGATAAGCCCTTCTATTTCCCGTATGTCCTTCAAAATCTCCTTTAAAATGTCTTGTTGATTCACTAAATCTGACCATGTACTGGTTTGGTTCATGTCAGGCCTGGCAAGCATCTCAGCATTTCGAAGCTGACAGTGAACTTTTTCTACTTCTGCAATAAGTCTTTGCCTCTCCTCCAGCTGGAGCTCTAGATGCTGTAATCTTTCAGATGATTTTAAAACAAGAGCCTTGTATAAATTCTGCAATGTTTGTAAAAGGAAGGTCATATCAGAGATCTCCTCTGGCTTCAAGTTGGGAATGATGTGCTGGAGCCCATAATCCAGTGACACAATCACAGGCTCTCTGTTTAGGACTTCTCTGCTCATAAGCTGACAACTTCTGATCTGTGATTTAACATCATTGGGGAAAAGAGCTGCTTTCTGATCAAGAGAGGACAGTGAATCCTTGACCCATGAAATGTTTTCTTTCAGCCTCTTCATCATTTCGTGTTTCATGAGAGCCGGGCCAGTGATCTGAACATCCTCTTGAGGAGTTTGTTGCGCTGATAATGCTTCCAACTTGCTCTGCAAATCATGTACAGAGTTCTCCAAAGCTACCTTCTCTTGATCACTCCAAATTCTTTTCATCTGCAGTTCAATCCTTCTTTTTAATAGAGAAAGACTATGTTTAATGTCCTGTAGCCCTGTGGTCCAAAGTACAGGGTAGTTAGCTCTTCCTGCAGCTGAGGAATATAACTCTGCTTGTAGACACTGTTCTTGTATCAGTCTCTGAATATCCTGGGCTTTATTCATAAGCAGGTTAAATTCATCGATTTCTGCCACAACTTGATCATGTTTTTTTTGCACTGTTTGTTCCATGTGTTGCCACCATTGCTCCAGTTGCCTCATCTGGCTTTCAGTTAACACTTTATCCATGCATGTTAAATGCTGAGATAAACTTTCTTGCTGAGTTTTCAACTGGTTTAAGACATCTCTTTCTTTTTGTAAGGACTCTATGCATGCCTTAATTTTCTCCAGAAGAACTGTGTTGTTCATAGGGCCCCTGCCAAAAACATGAGTACCGTTTAAAAAAAAATAATAAATCTCCTAAAACATGGACTAGACACATTTTTAAAAGATAATTTCACTGTGTAGAAAATGATTCACTCACATTCACTTTATCACATGTATCTCTCAACGTTCTCTCACAAGTTTCCTAACCACCATTGCAGTATGATTACTTCTTGCTTATCTGTACAGCATTAGTTATTTCTAGATATCTCTGCAGGAAAGGTACATTTTAATGTATATTCTCTAAAATTGCACTATATACTAACATAGAACGTGTTGTTTCCTAAATGAATATAGCCTCCTTTTAAATTTACAATAAAGAAAATTTTAAAAATCAACAATAATGTTAAATCATCTCTAAGTGAATTAACATTTTATGGCAGTTTCTGATTTACAACAGAGATAAAACTTACAAAAATTCCCATTAATTCAAGATTAATTTGGAGGAGTTTTATCTACTCATCTTTTATTTCCAGGAGTATTTTGAAATTCCCACCTAAAATAGATTTAGCAGCTAGATTTAGCAGCTAGATTTTTATTCCAATTTTTCAATCCCTTTGCTGTAAATTAAAAACTTAATAAATTATTTTAAATATTTTCAAATTATTGTGATACATTATTGTGACCAATAGGCTACTTCCATATTTTAAAGGCTAATTCATAAAAGGTACTAAATATTTTGTGTGCATTGGTTACCTCTGAATTGGTACTGTAGACTTATTTATTGCCAAAGAACTCTTCCTATCAAATAAGATTAATTTTCAGAGTAATGAGATAGTTTACTCAGAAAAAAATCAGAACTGATGAGTCCTTAAAGAAAAATTAATATTTCACATCTGACATGTTTTTGCAAAAAATATTTTAATGTGGCTTTTACATGGGTTTTTAGCACAGCAACCATTTGCCTAAAAAGAGTAGATGTTGCTAAAGGATAGCAGAGAACCACTAGAAATGCTTCTGTTTAAGGCTGTTTAAACGTACAAACCTATGAGACTTGTCTTGCTACCTAACTTTAATAAGATGGACAAAACAACCATATTCTTGTCTGAGCATTACTGAAGTATGGCACAAAATTCAGTCTAGGACCGTATTTGTTCTGCAACCTATTAACAGAAACCCTCAACTATACTTACATTTTTATGTTATCTTTTTCTGTTGACAAATTTTTCATCGACAACTGTGCAGCAGAAAGACTTTTCTGGTACTCATTAATTAAACAGTACTGTTGTTGCTTCACTGCCTTAACAGCGTCTAGTTCTTGAAGTAGCCTGTCCCAGCAGGGCACCGCAGGCTCTGTGGTTTGCAGCTCTGCTCTGTTTGATCCTGTTGCATTGGGAAATGCTTCTTGACTGTGACACAAAGATTTTGCTTTCCATGTTTCCAGTTCAGTTTGTAAATTCTACAATCAAGTCCACCACAGACAGGGGATTAAAAGAGGATCTTAAACAATTTCAGCTATCAGCACAAAATACAGTTAAATACTGATACATCTACAAACATATGCTTGCTCGTTCATGTGCAAATGAGCACGCATGTCTGTGCACATCATGGAAGCATGCGCACTATCATAGGTGTATCTACTGCACTCTAGAAGAGCAGTACAAAATATGGTATTTACATGGACATATTTGCATTAAGGGACAGTGTTTGTAGATTATCTCGTAGACAAACTGACTAATCATGCAGCCAAACCTCAGATAAGACTATATGCAACAGTGTTGTTTCGCACAAGTGAATCATAACTCTGTAAGTGTAACACTACATTAACAATGAGGAATGGCTTTGCAATTTCCATACCTCCAGCTCTTTTAGTTGTTCATTTATAAGCACAATATCCAGTTCAGCCACTTCATTTTTCAGCTCATTGATCTTTTGTTCCTCTTCAAAATATTCAGTGTTTACTTGCAGTCCAGGAAATAGTTCATTCTGGACAACCACTTCTGCACCTGTGTCCTACAATGCAAAACAGGATTCTTATTTCTGAAGGTCCTAAACCAACATGTTTTCTGACTGCAACATCTTTGCTTCACATGTCTAAGCCATGCCAAAATCCTGCTGTTGCTTCCCCCACAGCCTCTGTGGGTCAACCAGGACCAAGAGGGTGAAACCTCCAATATTATCCACCACCTCTGCAGCCACCCTGGCTTGCCAGCACTGCTCAGCTAGCTATGAAATCTCTGTCCATCATTTTAAGTTTTTAATTCTGATATCCCCACCTTCAAATAACATCCTCCCTGCACACACCTCTGCTCCTGATAAATTCACAATCTGTCCTGTCTTCTCCCCCTTCTCCCTACACATTCATAGACCTTTAACCTTCTCCTCACACCCACATTCCTTCTGCTCAGCACCTGCCTTGATGTACTGCTATGTCCTTCACTAGGACCATCTCTTCAACTGTTCTTCACGGGGTGACTCATGCATGAAGCAGCTTGGCTGTAACACAAAGCCACGGCTGCTACTGCCATGAGTGCTATCTGAAATCATGGGTAAGACGAGAGCGTTAGGGAGCTGTATCTCAATCGGGGTGGGGAGGAAGAGAATTGGGGGCTCCAGAGCCACTCCCTGTCACTGCCATCAACTCTCACAATGACAGAAGGACAAGTCACTTGGGGTGTGGCCAGGTTTAACAATCCATCAGGTGAGCTGAGGTCCTTGCCCAACTCCTAGTCAGCCACAGTTCACATGTAAAACATAATCCTCTAAATCACCTTCAGCTGTTGCAGACAATGACATAAATGAAATGTCACAGGCTTACTGGGTCACATGCCATACCTTAAAAATCTTCCTGCATTTCCCTTCCTCCAGTACCTGCCTATATCCAGTGTAAACTGTGATCTGTTCCATGTACAGACTTCATGTGAGTGAATGCATACAAATAGACAGATATGACTTCAGTGTGAGCTTCTCCAGGGTGCCAACATATAAAATGAGCAATGATAAAAAAATTCTTGTTCGATAAACTTACTGTATTGCTACTTTAGATACTATTTTACAAGGAAGCAGCCAGCTATCCCTGCAGCCATATCACTTGTAGGCTGTCACTGTCGTCTGTCTTTCTGTGGGTCATGAGCTATCCAAAATATACCTGCTTCCAAGTGTGGGAAACATGTAGCACGTTGTAGACATTATTGGAAAAGAAGAATTCTATTTATTTGAACTCTTTTAGTTATTTCCAGTCAAAACTGAAGGGGACCACTCATGAAATAGTCAGTCAGAGAACTTTTCCATTTCTCTGTGTACACATCCATAACAGCTGTATCAATTTCAGACATACCATTTCATCTTAAGAGATTTTGGAGTGCTACAGAATCAAAGTAAGCAGAAAAACTCAGCTAGGCTATCAGAGTGAAGAAGAAATCGACCTTACCAGATTGAAATATAAATGCATCAAAACACACAGAAAAGTGTCCGAGCACTAAGAAAAACCTCAGGATTGCTCTGTACACGTTTTGCTTTTTTGTATGAAGTTCTCAACATACACCATGGCAATGCCTCCCTTGATACACAGACACAAAGATAGTGTCAATCTCCCCACACAGTAGTTTTCATGTTTCCCATAGATTTTTCAGTCCATCAGATGGCTGGAGAGGGAGGAAAATCTGAGAAGGGAAGAGAATGGGGTTGCTAACGAGCTACTGTGCTTCAGGGACAAAGCCACGACTCCCCTGCTGACTCTTCACAGTGCAGGCCTGTGGGAAAAGGCCAAACATGACTCCGGCTTCAGGCTAGGGTACAGCGCACAGTTTAAATTTTATCCAACATCTTCCTCAGGAAATCAGCAGAGCCTACTTTCCCTTCCCTTCACAAGCTCCAAATCGACTGAATACAAGCACTTAAAGATCACATTTAGAAGTGAAAGTCAGTCAGTTTAGAATAGAATAGAATAGAATAGAATAGAATAGAATAGAATAGAATAGAATAGAATAGAATAGAATAGAATAGAATAGAATAGCATAGAATAGAATAGAATAGAATAGAATAGAATAGAATAGAATAGAATAGAATAGAATAGAATAGAATAGAATAGAATAGAATAGAATAGAATAGAATAGAATAGAATAGAATAGAATAGAATAGAATAGAATAGAATAGAATAGAATAGAATAGAATAGAATAGAATAGAATAGAATAGAATAGAATAGAATAGAATAGAATAGAATAGAATAGAATAGAATAGAATAGAATAGAATAGAATAGAATAGAATAGAATAGAATAGAATAGAATAGAATAGAATAGAATAGAATAGAATAGAATAGAATAGAATAGAATAGAATAGAATAGAATAGAATAGAATAGAATAGAATAGAATAGAATAGAATAGAATAGAATAGAATAGAATAGAATAGAATAGAATAGAATAGAATAGAATAGAATAGAATAGAATAGAATAGAATAGAATAGAATAGAATAGAATAGAATAGAATAGAATAGAATAGAATAGAATAGAATAGAATAGAATAGAATAGAATAGAATAGAATAGAATAGAATAGAATAGAATAGAATAGAATAGAATAGAATAGAATAGAATAGAATAGAATAGAATAGAATAGAATAGAATAGAATAGAATAGAATAGAATAGAATAGAATAGAATAGAATAGAATAGAATAGAATAGAATAGAATAGAATAGAATAGAATAGAATAGAATAGAATAGAATAGAATAGAATAGAATAGAATAGAATAGAATAGAATAGAATAGAATAGAATAGAATAGAATAGAATAGAATAGAATAGAATAGAATAGAATAGAATAGAATAGAATAGAATAGAATAGAATAGAATAGAATAGCATAGAATAGAATAGAATAGAATAGAATAGAATAGCATAGAATAGAATAGAATAGAATAGAATAGAATAGAATAGAATATTTTTAGTCATAAGGGACCTACAACAATAATCTATTCCAACTGCCTGACCACTTCAAAAGTTAAAGCATGTTACTAAGGGCATTGTCCAAATGCCTCTTAAATGCTGACAGGCTTGGGGCAGCAACCACCTCTCGAGGAAGTTCCAGTGTTTGACCAACCTCTCAGTAAATAAATGTTTCCTAACGCCCAGTCTAAACCTCCGCCGGCACAGCTTTGAACCATTCCCATGCATCCTATCACTGGATACCAGGGAGATGAAATCAGCACCTCTGTCTCCCCATCCCCTCCTCAGGAAGCTATAGAAAGCAATGAGGTCACCCCTCAGCCTCCTTTTCTCCAAATGAGACAAGCCCAAAGTCCTTAGCCACTCTTCATAGGACATTCCTTCCAGTTCTTCCACCAGCTTTGTTGCCCTGCTCTGGATGTATTCAAGGACCTTCCCATCCTTCTTAAATTGTGAGGCCCAGAACTGCACACAATACTCAAAGTGAGGCCGCATCAACACTAAATACAGTGGGATAATCACCTCTTTTGACCGACTCTGGTGCACCCCAGGATGGTTTGCCCTCTTGGTTGCCAGGGCACACTGCTGACTTACACTGAGCCTGCTGTCAATCAGCTTCCCCAAATTCCTTTCTGCAGGGCTGCTCTCCAGCCACTCCTCTCCCAATTTCTACACGTTTACAGTTGGATTGAATAATCTTAAAGATCTTTCCCAATCAAAATGATTCTGTGATTCTATGATGATTGCATTGTCCTTCAACTGCTTTTCAATAGTAACTAGTATGATCTTCTCCACAATTTTTCCAGGAACTGAGATTAGACTAACAGATCTGTAGTTTCCTGGGTCTTCCCTCACCCGCTTCTTGTAAATTGGAATAACATTTGCCAGCTTCCAGTCAGCAGGGACCTCCTCAGACTCCCAAGACCTTTGGGAGACTTTTTTTCTTCCCCAGTTAGAGAAGATGTGCAAGTCCCAGGAAAGAACAGCCAATGGACAGGTAAGCTGTGGACCTGCCTATAGATTTAACTGTGAAGACCAGATCCATCTCTACCTTCAGTTTAAGAATGTGGTGACCAAGGATCAGCAGTCATGGAGCATTTGAGATGTAACACCCTTACTCTTCAAGATTAATAGACTTAGTAATGTCATTTAGTAATATACCTTGTTATTCGTTTAGCTTGAATTCATTCTCCTTTCTCTATTTTATTTCATTTCTTTTCATATGCTGGATCACCCTTGGATTTCAGTTTTTGATCTGCCTTCCTTATTATGGCAAGCACTATCACAGCTCATTAAAATAATACGGAAAGAAGTTCTATTGATTAACAGTTTAAAGAGAAACTGTAAATACCATAAAGACTGATTATGATGGCTCTGAAAACCAATCCTGCTCTTCTGAACAGATCCACTGAAAAATATGATGTGGCTAGCACTTGGGATAAAATTCAAAACTACCATGGACATAAAGCAGAAATATACACAATGGTCTTGATTGTGATGTGACAGTAATTGCTGCCTCTTTTATAACGTAAGTTCAGCTGAAGCCTATGTGGAAATAAAAATTCAATGATTCTGACAAATTTAGCTTGAAATAACAGAATGTGGGTTACCTCATGTGCAGAAACTGGGGGATCAGATTCCAGACCCTCTCCCTCAGCTGCTTCAGGTTTCAGGACTTGGTTCTTCTGGCACACCCTTGGTTGAACCTGATCCACATCTTCACTATATGACTGATTCTTGACATCACTAGGTTTCTCCTTTGGGTGTAAGAAAAATAAAAAAACAACTAATCAAAAAGCCCTAATCAAACCCGATGAGTAGTAATTACAGTGCTTGAGATGACAAAGTTACAAAGCCCATAATTATAGGTAGATGAGGAAAACCACAATTACATCTTATAATTTATTGTGGGCAAGGTTGTGGCAAAGGAAACCATTTAGAAGAAGCAATGCTGTAATTTTGTTACAAATTTTTAGAAAAATTGCAGATTGCAAGTGTTCTTCCTCCGATCTATGCTGTTCATGTTTTGTTATTCTAAGCATGGATCTTGAACTGCGTATCCCTGGATGCAGTCTTGAATGCATTTTTTAAAAGGTTTAGCTTTTTCCTGAGGCTCCAACCTTGTACTGTAGACAGAGAGTCTGTGGTTAGACACCCAGCCAATTACCAGGGAGGATATTCCCATGGGTAGCCTGGGGATTTGCTGTATGTACATGCTGAGGTATTTGCTAACTATAAGTTCTGCCTGAGTTTGTTTATCATCTGGGGACAGATAAAATAAAACAGCCACCTACACAAAATAAAGAATGGCAAATCCTTACAGCATCACCATGGTGGAGAGCACAGCGTCGGTGACCTATCCATGCTGCATGGATATCTGAGCTAGCGGCTGCAAGTCAGATAGGATATGTACTGAAAGTAGCCCACCAGCAACCCAGAATTTACAAATTTACCCCAATCCTCAGCAAGTTTATGAGTGCACACTGTGCTCCATCTTGTCACAACTACACTACTTTCAGCATCTCACACAGTTTGCTAAAACTGAAGGTCTGAGAAGAGTCTGGCTCTGTCTTCTCTACAACACCCCTTCAGGGAGGGGATGACAGCAGCAAGACCTCTTTCAACTCCAACAAGAACTTAGCCTTTTCCAACTCATCATGACTCCACCTTCCAAAATTCCCTTTGAACCAGGGTGCACCAAACAGGACACAGCATTTCTAATGCAGCCTCATACATGCAAAGTAAATATACAAATAAGAAATCTAAATAGATGAAGGAGATTCAAGCAAATTAACTGTATTCAAGTAAAATGGTAAGAAGACTTCACAATATGTCCAGGTGACTTGGAAGGCAATATCCTCAGCAAATCACTAATGAAAAAAAAATTCCCCTCCATATTAATTTTAAATGTACAGGAAAGGATTCAGTTAATGCAGACTAAGTATACAGCACATCAAACAAAAATAGCTCAGTTTAACTTGAGGTTTTTATTATTTATTTATCATCCCCACTGCAACTAAACTGTATACATATATCCTCAAATTCAAGCACTCTTGTGCAGTCTCATGTCCAGTTACCTCTGATGGATGGGTTTCCTTTCCTGTTTCACCACCTTCAATACCACCACCATCCCAATGCCATTCCAGTTCTGCTTCACCACCCTGAACCACATTGTCCAAAACGTCCTCTTGGACCCTATCATGTTTGTCCATACCTGGGCTCTCCTTAACAGCCTCCCCCTGATTTGAAAAATACAAAATGTTTACAATCAGTAAAAGTCATAGTCCAAAATCTAAGTTTACTACGGAACATCACAGTCCACAAGCTGTCTACTCTATCTTCAGTTTAGTTTAATGAATGAAGGAAAAGGCTGAGATAACCCAAACCCAGAGTCTCTTGGAAACTCCTGCTCAGATCAGTTTACCATCAGGACCTTAATCACTATGAAATAGTTTCAAAACAAACCAAACTGGAGTAAGTGCTCACATGATTATTTAAATACTGTCATAGAAGTTTCTGCTTAGACACATTTTACAACTGTAACTATTGATCTTGCTCCTTCTCCAGAAATCCCAGTACTGACGGTTTCCACTCTGGTATTTTGATGGTCATCTCTCCTAGCTACTGTTAACAGTCAATGGTTAGGTCAATGAGGGAGTTCTCCAAATCGTTTCCTCAGTGTTGCACACATTAAGTCATTTACGATATGAGTGTCCTGAGGTCCCCTAATGATCAGCAGTTCCAAGGTTAGTGACTCTCATTACCTACCTTGTGCGTGCGGGTGACAAAACCTGTTGAAATCACAGGTATGTTGCAGGTTTTGCATCATGGAGAAAGTGGGTCCAAGCCCTGGGGGCTTGTAGAGATCATCACATTGATCTCTTGCACACTTCTCACGTACAAGTGTGAGAGGATGATTTGGAGAACATAATTTATCATTCCTTTCATCAGATAAGGAATGTAAGACTGTACTTACATGTCTGTAAGACTCAAATTTTAAGGAATTACATATGCATTTCTAGTCAACAGACAGACACACACACACACATATATATATACTGACATGTATTAGAACATATTTGTCAGGCACCTGAACAGTTTGCCCCAATCCGTCCTTGCTTTGAAGGATACCCTGTAATGGGCTGTCTGACAATACACTGTTTTCCTCCAAAAGTGGATCATTTTGCTTCTCTTCCTCTGACATACTTCCATTTACATCTTGACCCTAAAAGAAATGATATAAAAGAAAACCTGCTCGTGTGACCATAAATATCCTATTTTAACATTAAATCTATGAATGGCAAAAATTATTATCTATGAAACAAACAGGACAAATATTGTGCTGCACTTCTAGATGAGTCTTAGTGGTTTAAGAGAAGATCTCAAAGTTCTTTGGCAGAGGTGTATTTGCAATTTTCTCACTATACACCCTCTCCCTTTGTTTCCTGACCAAGGATACCTGCTTTAATTACATGCAAGAGAAATCTATACACAGGTTGTGTTTAAATGGAAAACTGCAATTTTGAACAGACATTATTGGCTTGTTAGACTCGTTACAACAAGTTAAGGGAGGAGCTCTCCACATCTTTGATTTATACACATATATTTACAGAAGGCTTAATTTCAATGAAATTAAGGATGCAATATACAAAAGGCATTTGAGAGACAGATGCCTCTTTAACCAGTCTTCCACTGTCATTACTGTCAACAAATACACTCACATCATGCATTTCCAAAGGGTCCTTTAACTCCACTGCTGTGGGGCTCTCTTCTGCAGTGACAGGAGTACCACAAGTGATCTGTTTCTCTCCCTTCAGAATTGCATCTGCCTTATCTTCCATTTGTATTTCACTACCAAACCCATCTTTTAACTCAAGGGCTTCACTGAAAATATTTTCCTCCTTTTGCTTGACATTTTCAAGTCTTTCTTCCAGACTTCTGTGTTCACTCTGAAGTGTTTCAATCTCATCCTTAATAAAATTCTGTCCTGGTGAAGAGGTGTTTTGTTTAACAGCTTCTGCTAAAACCAAAATCTTCTTTAATGTGTCTTCGCATCGACTAAGAGGTCCTTGTTGTTCCTTTAAACATGAAGAAAACATTTTATTGAAAAGTATCTTCACTCAATATACTTAGTGCCAAGATCTCAAGTCAATCACTAAAATCCTAAGTATTTGTTGTGAACAACAAACTGTGCTGAAAAGCACATGCAGACCTATTTGCTTCAGAAAGTCAAATACTAAACCAGTAATTTTAATCGGCCATTTTTATGAACAGAGAACACCTGGAGCTATAAGCATTACAACAATGATAAAATAATCAGTATGCTGTGAGGTGCACGGTGATCTTTCCAAGTTCTGAACAGATATTCCCTTCCCTCTCCTATTGCTTTTTGCTCATTAGAGGTATAGCAAATTCTGGAGGAAGGGGTATTGCAGCTATCCAGATTTGAGCTATGGTTTCAGCTTTCAGTAGCTCCCTACACTCAGAGCTACAAGACTGTTATCCTTTCTGCCAAAGTGCAAAAGAATGTCTATTTATGCATGAAGGACACTTCTTAAAATTGAACTTGGCTCACTGACATTTTCCTAAGATTTCCACTCTGGCTAATTTAAAGACACTTACTAACACCAAATTTAATGATCTCTTTCCTCATTATGCCCAGTGAGGAGAAAAAAAAACCCCAACCAACCAAACTGAGAAAGGCTGTGTGCTTAAGCCAGGACAATTCTACATTCAGTTCAGCTGACAGTAAAGGTCCACTCAGTTCATTAAAAGTGGTTTTAGGCCTGCCAATTACCTTGATAAAAGGAATACCACATATACTTTATATTTTAGAAAGGTTTCTTAGTTTTTCAGTTTGACACCATTAGCAGTTCTCTTTTATAAATGTGATGGTCTCTACAAGCCCTTAGGGCATGGACCCACTTTCTCCACGATGCAAAACCTGCACCATACCTGTGATTTCAACTGGTTTTGCTCAGCTGATGGTTGTTCCATTGCTGGACATCCACAATCAGCAAGATTCTCATAGATAGTTTTCAACTCAGTGCTCAGACCCATTACCATATCCTGAAACTGCTGGTGCTCTTGAACATGACTTTCCAATGTCTGCACTATGGTCTAGAAAGCAAGGAGTTTCAGGCATTAGTCCACCATTAACTTAAACAAATGTAACTCATCCACAGACTGCCACAGCTTTTCCAGGACCTCAGCAGCACAAAAGATTTGCTTGTTTCCCATAAAATATCCAGCTAACCACAGGTTCACAAAAAATATCTTGCCCTCTTCCCGGCACATCATGGACTGCACCATGAACAAAATCTTCATTAGTAGTAGGAAGCAAAAGAGTTTGCATTCCATAACAATATACTTCTAAAAGGGATGTTTTCTATTCAAAATGGATGAAAGATTAGATGCAGAATGCCACACGGGGCAAATGCAATTTGCACTAAACTGGGTGGAACCAAAAACTAACAAGATACAGGAAGAGCCATTCACTCTTCCAAAAGGTAAAAAAAAAAAATCCAACAACTGTGGCTTGGAGATTATAGGAACAAATGCTTCATATTATAGCTATCTGAATCTGTTTATACAGATATAATATGTTCTTCACACTTACCTTAGTCTCAGTTGTTTAAACATTTATCCCTCTGCAAAGCACAAGGCAGTGAAAAATATGAGCTTCTGGTGCTCTTTTTTCCCACAGTAAGAGAATTCCCTGCCCTTCTACAGAGGAACTTTGACCACTCCCAGTTTTACCCATAAACTTGCAAGCTGAATGACACTCCAGGCAAACAGTGAGAACTGCAATCAACAGGCATACCAATGATCTCGTAAGGACAGAGAGTGAGGTTCCAACCTGTAGCTGGCTGAGCAAAGTTTCATGTTGATGCTTTAATTCCAACCATTCCACCTCTGTGAAGCAGGGATCCCCAGTGTGACCCTGTAAGTGATCTTTGTGGCTTTTCAGTTCATTAAATCGGGAAGTTAAATCTTCTGCTTTCTGCAGGAGGTCAGCATAGTTCGTCAGCTGAGCTTGCTTCTCCTGCAAACCAGGCTGAAGGGCAAAACCTATCTCCTGTTGCTGTTTCTCCAGTTCATTTAAAGCCAGTCTCAGATCTTCTTTGCTTTGTTCATATTGCTCCCTGTTGAACTGAAGTTGCTCTTCAGGGCTAAGAAAAAATATTGTTATCTTAATAGCATGAAAAAAATTTTTATTCATTACCTAGAAAATGTTGAATTGTGAACAAGTCAACCATTAGAATGAACATGAGCATACGGAATACTTTTCTTCAGATTTTAAATTACCAATCAGCTTTAGACTGGAATTTTCAAGGTGGGGAAAATGAAAAACACTGAAGTTATTGTTGCTGAACTGGACTTAAATGCAGGACAAGTGATTAACTCTCTTAAACCTTAACCTATAAACCCAGTTTCTAGCATCTGAGATGTGATGCTCAAGCTCTGTATTTTTCTGCTTTTCAATACAGCAGAAGCTCCATTTGAAAACTACAATATGGTTCTGAATCTATTTTCCTTGACTACTTGTTATGACACTCTCCTGAAAGGCCATGTTCTGTAGAAGATACACATTGAATTGATTGAGATGGGAGTGCGGGAGTATTTTCGAGATACAGACAACAAAACCAGCATATGCACTATGGGTCATGTTAGCACAAGTCCAGTAACTACTTTCTTGATCTTGACATTGGATTTCGATTTGTGTGCTTTATAAGCATGCATGCTGGTCTGGTCTGCTGCAGGTGAACATGTTGTATTTGTCCACAGGAAATATGCAACTATGATCAGTGAGACAAAAGTAACATTTGTATGCTCACATTTAGTGATGAAACTCAGATATTTTCCAGATGGAACTTAAATGCCAACATTTGAAAATATGATCCCACACAAACAAATCCAAATAAATAAAGTCTGGTTATGATTCTGTAAAGTACAGCAGGATAAATGAGGACAAAAGCAAAGCTCAAGTGTTTTGTTTTCTGCCCCTCAAGATTCATATTTTTTGGCAAATGACAAATAAAGCATTGCCTCACATATATTAAGTACTCTTGCTTCAAGTTCCCTACTCCAGCTTCACACTGCTGCCATTACCGAGTTGCATCTGTTATCCACAAGCCTGATCCTGCAAGGTCCTGAGCATCTCTTCAGATGTGCTGAGCATCTCATCTGCTGTCTTATACTGTGACGAGGGTGCTCTGCATTCTGCCGTGTTGGATCCAATATAGCCAATGCTCTATCTTTCTGAACACCACTTGTATTGCTTGTACTCGGTGCTCAGTAGCAAGAGAAGGCAACTGAATATTCTCAAAAATATTTATTTTTAATAATTCATTCCCTGGACTTTTTCTAAAAGGTATACAGTAGGCCTACTCTAGCTATCGTTGATCTCAACAGCAAAGTTCCCAGTGATTTTACTGAAAGTTGGTTCAAGGACATTATGACAGACATATCTTGAAAGTGTCTGCATGTGCAAAATCAGAACTTCAGTTTATGTTTATACAACACACCTGGAATCACCTGACATGTTTTAAAGGATCAATGTGGCTCTCTGACACAGTTGCCACAGTGCCAGTGACACTGAAGTGCCTTTGCTGACTTGACAATACCAGCTGCCACAGCCAAGAAAGCCTCTCACAGAGCCAGAATAAACCAGAATTTAAAAACTCTACTTTAAAAATCCCAGCCTCCTGTATTTACCACAAACTTGATTCTGAAGCAGTATGAATCTGTGCAAAGGTAGATCCCACCTCTGCTGGAGATCCAGGCATGGGACACAGAGCTCAGATCACACTGCAGGGAAGGGCCACCACAGTTGTTAAATCAGTGCACCCTCACTGCATAAGTCTAATGGAACAAGGAGAATTGGGTTGGGCTTTTTTTTTTTACAAGAACGGCTGGGCTACTTCAGCATCAAAAGGGAATCTGAGGAGAGCTAGGCTGACCCCATCAGCTGTCCTGCCACCCCCCTACACCTCTTGGCTACAGCTTCCACTTGACCATTCAATCCAAACTGTGGCCTGCCCCTCCACAATAGTGCAGAAATACAAGTATTCTTGTATGTATCTTATTCTGCAGTTAGAGAACACAACTTCAATGGAACTGGTGCAGGAAGAAGAGAAGAAAGTCAGTAAGAAAGTCAGTAAGCAATCTGTACTGCCTCTTGGCAAATTTCACATTACCTTCTATATTCAGTGGCTAAAC